CCTGTTACGCGCTGTTGCAGGATAGCCTTTGCTGATCGGCATTGTTGATTAAGAAGAAAAAGAAAAAAAAAGAAGCATCAGAAAAGCCAGTTCGATCTAATATCTGGGTGGAAATGAACCACCATTTATCCTCCTCGCATCTTATTTATAGCTTAAAGCCCTTTAAAGCCGTTCGGCTTACCGCGAGCTCACTCGGTACCTGCTGCACTTGTTCCGAAACGGCATTCTGCACCTCGTCCACGCCGTCTCAACCACTGCAGTCCTCATTTTGTCAAGTCCCCCGAGCAATTGCTGTCTCCAGCAGCTGAAGCCTCCAGCTATGTCCAGTGTCTTTGAAATGCATGTGATCCAACTGCCCCCCGCCCCACCAAGGCCATGCAGGAAGCTATCACTCATACTGTTTAACACAAAATAAACACGAGGAATATCAGGAGGTCATTATTTGTTGCCAATCATTACTTTTTAGTAATTGGGTTGGCGGCGCCATTTTGTATTGAATCCCTGACAATGTCGCTTGCCACAAAACTTGGGAGTGAAATATATCGGAAGCGACACGATGCAGCCGGGACGCCTTCTCTCTGCTAAGATGAGAGACAAAGTCAATTTCCCCTCTCGTGGGTCAGTGTGGCTGCGGTTCCCCCGCGGAGAGTAGGCAAGGACAAGAACAAAGACAAGGGCAATCTTAATCTGTTTTCAGTGTAAACATTCAGCGCATTGGGAACGCGCTTTAGTCCTGGCTGCTTGTGCTGGGGCAGGGTCTGAAAATGGAAGCATTGCCTGCTTCGACATCATTAACGGCACAGCAGCCAGGTCATTTTTAAAAAAAATGTTTTTCTATTTATTATTTTTTTTTGTTTTCTGCGATGTGTCTTCAAGTCGAGGCTTTGGGCCTTTTCAGAAAGACAACAAAATCGGAAGTTTAAAATAATTACCAAAACTATAGGATCTATAGGATCCCCACTTTCTTAAAAAAACATATGAAACAAATGTGTATGCATGGAAATAAAACACAAAGATGGAATAGGTGGAAGCTTTGAAAATGAAAAAAATAAACAGCATGAAGGTTAAGAGAAAAGAGCACAAATCATCATACTTGCTGCTATGCTAGCTTTGTGTTTGCAGATATTGAGAGGACTGACTCATTGGGAGCCGCACGCACCTCTCACCACATTGTCTCGACTGTGACCGACTGTAAGTGTGCGCAGTCGTAATAAGCCGGCGAGTCTTAGGAAAGCTAATTTTGCTCATTTGTTTTGCTGTGGAGGGAAAAAAAATGACACACATGATGGTTGGTCAGTCCTTGACAAGTCGCTCTGTGTTTTTGTCGATGCTTTAAGCCTTGATTAAAGAACTCCCGATTGCCATCTTGTACCACGATGTAATGGATGACAGATTTTGTTCTTGTGGTTGTCAGCACTTCAGATGATCTTCATTTGTGTGTGTGTTTTTTTTTTTAACTTTGATGGAAATGTCAGATTACATTTTATGCTTTGGAATGTTTAGCAATTAAAACTGCACCGCATTTTCTATTATTCACTGAGAAGGCGGCACGGTGGAAAAGTGGTTTTAGCACCTGCGCCTCACAGTTCTGAGTTTCCTTCCTGCGTGGAATATTTTTCTCGGTTCTCCTTAGGTTACCCGGGCCTTAACATTCTCTTTTACGGCGACTAAAACAATTAAATTCCAATGATGATCTATTAATTTTTTGGGGGGCATTTGCCCTGCTGCTTCATACCTTTAACCGAATCAGAGTCATTCATAATCTACAGTACCCAGTCGAGCAATATGATCTCAATTGCAATGCTGCGTTTACATACAGCAGTTCCACACGCGCAATTTATTAGTTCACAGTCAAGAGCAACCGCAGCGATTTGTTTGTTTGTTTGAATCGCTTTCAGTGCTCCGCCAACACAAACATTTCCGCAGCGGTTTTTCGTGAACAGCGCAACCAGGGAAATAGGAGTCTGCCAACCCGCCGCGGTTTATCGGGAGCATTTATGGCGTTGCTCATCTCGATTTTTGAATATTCGCCTCATATCCCAATGGCGCTATCAGTCACACTTCAAGTTAATATTTCACCCCCACGAGGCTTCTGAGCTGGAAATCCTTTCCTCGACACAAAGAGGGGAATCTCCTCCTTGCTGTGTCTGAATTATTAAACCACTTGTCAGAATCCTAAATCTGCCTTTGAATGCACTTCCATCTCCGCGAGGGGGAAATAATTGGGAGTTCAGCTCCAGAACTCGGCATGAGACGCGTTTGGTTTCTGCGCAGTCCTTTTACGGCGGTTTCAGTCGCTCGCCGGCGGCTGCGCTCGCCTGGTTTCTCTCCAGGCACGTTTCTTGGCGCAGGCTCTGAAAATTGCTCGGGGTCAGCGACCTGTATACTCCACATCGCGTTGTGGAATTATTTGGATTATGGAATGCAATGGCAAATACAAATTGCCTCAAGTGAACTTCGGATCAACTCTGCGAGTGGACGCGGAATTTTTTTTCTCACTCATCTCCTCCCATCTTTCCATCCTTGGCTGTAGAAGTTAATTGCTGCAATCAGGGGGATGTTTTGGGTGGAGCGAGATAACTCTTCGCCGTGTTCCTGGCACTGGAAGCGTGCTTGTATCACATCCGGCTTTGATCGCAACGATCTCTTGGGACCCGGGCCAGGAGAAGGAAGGCTTTTTCCGTCCTTGTCTTCTTTTATTTGCAGCCTCTAATGAAGTCTGTACACTCGACGTCAACACATCAGACGCGCTCGAAGACGAATCCCATCCATTGTGTCCTCCTCGCTCTCTTGATCTCCATTTGTTTCCCATCTTTCGGCTTTTCTTCTGGTGACGTCGTTCTTTGGAGAGACCGGTTGTGTCTTGTGGATCCCTTGATGCAAAATCTTTACTTGAATATGAAGTCTAATTGATTTGAGGCTTTACAGTTGATTCACCGCAACTGTTCCCATTTTGATTGACTTAAAATATTAAGCAACATTTTTCCCAGCATGCTCTGCATTCGGGCTGAATTATTTTTCTCAATGCTTCCATCAGGCGATGAAGAAAAAAAAACAGTCAACTTATATTTGTCATAAATGGGTCACATGCGGGCAATTTAGAGACTTAGATTTTCCATCCGTATTTATTTTGGGGATAAATAGATGAGCACGAGGGACTTTTTTCCAGCATTTCCATTTTTATGCCTCGTTGTCATGTTAGTCAATGGCCACAAGAGGGCACTAAAGTACCAGAGGAATATCTTCATCTAAATTCTGAGAGTTGGGTTTAATTTCAGGGAGCTTCATGGGCGGGGTTTCAGTGTGCATATGGCTATTCATTTAGTTTTACTTGTAGAAAAAAAAAGAAGGAATCGCCTTTCCATTTCCAAAACTGCATCAGGTTAGATCTGCTTGATTATTTTTGTTTTTTTTTAACTTAATGCTGGTTGTAAATATAAACTTTTTTTTTTCATTAAGTATTGGCGTTTTTTTTTTTTTTTTAATGCATTGGGTATTTGTGGTCAAGCAGGAGCATTTTTCAATGGGAAAATATTGTGAATTGCAGTTGGCTTTTGTCAATCAAACGGTTACCCGTGACATGTGCAGTATCGACTGTTTATCAGCCTGTGTGTGTATATGAGTTAGCCGAACGGTGAGTGTGTGGCTATGCCGGTTGAATTGTGTGCTAGAGGCACACGTATTTTCGTCTGCAGATGGGGTAACCATGACAACTGCAGCCTGAAGCAGGACGATGGTGGCGGCGGGCGCAGCACGGCGTGCCGCCTCTTTTTCTCCTCAATAGATGCGGAGATTACCCGACTCTGCAATTCCCCTTCATTTTTTTTTGCCATTCTGAATCTTTGCGATGCTCCCATTTAGTCAAGGGGGGTCAAATCCTCAACCTAATGCACTCGGGCCCTTTTAGACCCAGTGTTGGGTTAGCTATTTTACCCAATTTAGATATTTTGTTGTTGTTGTTTGTTTTTGTTTTTTTTGAGCCGGCAGTTTTAAGAGTGTAAATCAAGCCCTGTATCTCTCGAATCGTTTCACCACAATGACATATTTAACCAAGATAAAGTGTTTACTGGTCTGCTAAGCAAAGTCTAAGTGGACCGGTTGTGAAACTTGCCAAGCTCGGAAGCTTTCTTCCGGCCCATCATACTCGACAACTTTGACACATTCGAATCGTGGCACATTAGTGGATAGCCGAGCAGGGGAGAGAAAGGCAGCGAGTGCTGTTGAGCGGTGACTTGCACAAGCGGCACCGCTGCCTTCACTCAGAGCGAAGCTCATGGACAAGGCTACCATCCTTCTGGCTCGATTCCCCTTCTTCAGCTATTCATCCGGTGAGTCAACATTCTGCTGGTGCTTTTTTGATAACAGACGATACAGTTGTGCGCAATGGCCGAATCCATACATGGTGTGAAATATGCCGTCCGGTTGGATCAGTGCCGATGCAATGCTCGCCCAGCCTGTTGCCAAGGCGTATTGGTTTTAGCTTGTGAAGAGAAGCGGGTGCATCAGGGCTCTGTTGTTTCTGCCGGTTCATCCCGAGGTGTTGTTTCCCCGACAGCAGCTGTTGGCATCGCACTTGAATGCAGATGATGTCATTGTTGTGACCAATACAACGAATCGGAGTCACCTTGTTGACCTATTTGTATGCACGACATATCCAATGATAATGCCTACTCGTACCACCCCTTCAATTTTAACGTCGATGCACATTCATGCAATTCTGACGTGTAACACTCTACCAAGCAGGTGGGCGACGCTACTGTGCTAAAGTGACAAAAATGTCTGTTGTTTAGGGAAGGGTGTGTATGTGTGTGTGGCTGTGTGTGTGTGGCATCGTGTTCCGAAGTTACTCCAGGGATGGATTTATGGCTGCAAGCGGTGGATTTTACAAGCGCAATCTTCTTTTGATGCACGCCCTCTTGTCAAGGTCCTGTGTTTTTCAACTGTTAAATGCAGAGCTTGACATTTATTGAAACGTTCTTTTTTTTTTTTTTCCCCCCCAGTCACAATGAGCGAAAGGTGACGTGTAAGCACCCCGTATCAGGAGCCCCCTCCCAGGACAACTGTATCTTTGTCGTGAATGAACAGTAAGTTGCTGGCTGACGTGACTCAACTGCACATCTCTGGAAAAATAAACTTCATGAGCTAATTTAATGTAGGAAACCATCAATAGTTGTCTTTTTTTTTTATTATACATTTTGTACTCATTTTGGGGTGAGTGCTGTTTTATGTCATTCATTGTCATGATTATTATTTTTTTTTTACGAAATCACATTTGGTTTGGCATGCTTATTATTTTGTCATCTTGTCTTCCTCCTGTCCTTTTAGTGTGAAATACGGAAAGCTTGTCCATCCCGACAAGCCCCTAGAGTCTGAGACCAGGTAATAAAGCCTGATAATTACAGAAAGAGTAGTTTGGCTTTCGGCTTTTCTGTCACGACGAATCAGTTGAACACTAAATGGTAAGCGGGATGCACTTGCATGCCAGCTGGTGAAAAGTCACTGAGGGTAAGGTGAAGCGATCATTGTCTGGGAGATTTAATCAGACTCCAGACGAGATGATGATGGTCCGTTTTAATGTGACGCTCATCGCCATTGCAATTCTTCAGCCCATGTACGAGTACGACTGTTTATTTTTATGTGGCGTAGGAGGTCAAATGTTTCATCTCTCTGTGTCTCTTTACCTTGCGGCAGGACAGCTCCAAAGCCAGAGCAGGAAAATAGCGGCAGTAAAAAGGAACGTCCCATGAGCACCATGAGCGAAGCATCCAACTACACCGGCGGCTCAGACAACAGCAACTTCACCGGAAGCCCTGCTGCCACGTTGACTCACTCCTCTTCGTTCACGCGGGTCAGTATCGTTCTGGTCAGCTCAAAGAACAAGGTCGGGGGGATTCATCGATATGTTCTTGAATTCGGAGCTTCTCAGTCCACGCATGTGCACAAGATGCACAAATCATAAAGGATCAGCTTTTGACGTTTGGTTTGGTTTTGGTAAATGCCTCGGCATTTATTTTCGATTCCAACAGCCCTCGAGGTCTTCCAAAAAAGTTCACAACTTTGGCAAGAGGTCCAACTCCATCAAGAGAAACATCAATGCCCCGGTGGTCAAAAGCAGCTGGCTTTACAAACAGGTCAGAACATTTCACATTTCACGAAACCTTAAATTAAATGTAAAGCCTTTATTTTCAGCTAGTTGAATGCAATCAAATGTAGTGTGAGAGTTTTTTACTTTATTCTTGCCCTATGTAGAGAAAGGAATGAAACAAGGTAGCAGAGGGATTTAAAAAAAAAAAATGTATGGTTGATTATTTTTCTGTGAACTTTGACCCCCTAAGGACAGTACAGGCATGAAGCTATGGAAGAAGAGGTGGTTTGTTCTGTCGGACATGTGCCTTTTCTACTACCGCGGTAAGGAGACGCACGAGCCTGAAGACTCCCATTGCATGTATTATTATTTTTTTTAAGTTATCGTTAATGATGTGTTGCAGATGAAAAAGAAGACAGCATCCTGGGTAGTATCCTGCTCCCGAGCTTTCACATCTCCATGCTGTCAGTGGATGACCACATCAGCAGAAAATATGCCTTTAAGGTAAAAAATAAATAAAAAATAAAAGTTTCGTCAAAAGTCAACACAGTGTATGATGGTAACAGATGCCTGAATTTTACAATTTTTTTTTTTTTTTTGTCGCTTCTCTTTTGCTCTCTCTCTTAATCTCTCTTCCTGGTAGGCCACTCACCCCAATATGAGGACGTACTATTTCTGCACCGATACAGCCAAAGAAATGGAGGCCTGGATGAAAGTCATGACAGACGCCGCCCTTGTCCACGGTGGAGCTGTCAAAAACTCCGCGGGGAAATGCCCGCAGATAGACATGTGAGTCTCCATGTCATATTGATTTTTGTCATCATCACGGAACCAAAATCACAAACTCACATCAGCAACTGTATAAAAATCACAGGTTGGACAAGTTGAAAGTTGAACAGCCGGCACCTCAGGAGTTGAACAACGTCTTGAACAACCGAGTCTTCAGCCGGCCAGAGATCCAGAACAACGAACGGAATCGCGTGCCAGCACGTCAACACTCCTTATCTCGAAGTGACGAGAAACGGCTGAAAGATGCAGACAAACTGCATGGCGAGAAGGAACGCGAGTACTACACCTTGCAGAAAGAGGGCGGGCGATATTGCCTAAAGCAAGACTGCGTGAGCTACATGTTGCAAAAGGACGGTGAGAAGTATCTCCTGCACAAGGGCGGCGAAAAGTACATGCTGCAAAAGGATGGCGAAAAGTATTCCATTCACAAGGACGCAGACAAGTGCTCCGTTCGGAAAGTGGATGACGATTACAGAGTGACGGCAACGGAAGGAAAACTCGCTCCAGCTAAACTTGGTGATAAATGCTTTTTGTCAAAGGACGATGACACGTTTCTCCTGCAAAAAATGGGGGTTCCGTCCACCCTCGTAAAAGAGACGCCGAAATACGTCCCTCAAAGGGAAGTGAGGAGGCAGCTTTCATTAAAGGAGACGCAGAGTGGGACATACGGAACGTTGCAAATTGTGGACAAATATCACACTTTGAAGGACGTTCGCAAGTACAGCACGCTCAGAGAAGAGGATAGATACGCTACTCTAAGAGATTTGGAAAAGTATGCGACGCTTTGTCATGGGGATAAACGCCGCTTCCAGCACGATCCCGGCGTGGACGCGTCTCACGCAAAAATAAGCAACATCAAACTGCAGCCAGCCCAGGCGGCTGCCATTGCAGCAGCCGTGTCGGCTTCCCGCCAGGGCCAGGCTGCGCTCGCGCTGCCAAAACCTGCACAGGTAAACGGCTCAGGGTCAGTAGACCACACGGGCGACTGCGGCTTGCCGGCAGAAAATGAAAGACAGGCAAGGGTTGCGGCTACTCCGGCTCAGGAATCAGATAGAGGGTTGTCCAGAACCAATTCCACCCAGCAGTTGGATCACATGACTCGCAGAACTCGGACAGAAGAGGACAGAAGGTAAGAGGATCCATCACATGGATTCAGTGGAAATACATTTTTCACATTCCAATTAATTTGTTCTTCATTTGAAAAGCAAAATGTCATGTTCCATTCACAACTTGAAACGCTTTTGCCACCCAGTGGCGGAAAAAAATATTATTATTATTATTATATTTATTATTATTCCAGCAAAGGAGAAATTCAGGCCCGAAAGTATGTTTTTGTAAACGTACCGTTAAGACTGCTCATCTTGTGCTCCTCCCCCAAGCTCTTGAAAGCTTTTCTGCCTCATCGCTCTTATTTGTGCAGTCCTTCGTCCTCGTTCTGGCCTCGTTGTCCAGAGGGAGCTAAAAGCTTTTTGTGTCGCTTTTGAAGTGCATCTCCGTTGAGGATGGCGTTTAGCTACCATTTAGTCAGCAATGCAAGAGTAAAGCTCTGTTCTGCTTCCTGAAATAAGTACACGAGTGTGTGGGTGTAATGTGACTGTAAATTCAATGTTAAAGTGAGATACACAAAGCCATCTTGTCACTTAAAAAAAGGCGCATCGCACCGACAGAGGCGACCAGTGATCTCCATTTTTGCTTTGTTGCCCCCAGTGTTTCATCCTACCAGACATTACCCCGCAACATGCCCAGCCACCACCCCCAGCTTGTACCCAGATACCCAGAGGGCTACCGCACGTTGCCCCGGAACAGCATGATGAGGCCCGACAGCATCTGCAGCGTAGCGGGTTCGGCGTACGATCGTGCCCTTCGACCTGCCTCGACCAGCACGGTCACCACAGCGGAGAAGAGGAGGTCGATGAGGGACGACACCATGTGGCAGCTCTACGAGTGGCAGCAGAGGCAGGCCTCCTCCAGGCAAAGTCTGGCTCAACCAACAGGTAGTGGGGCCACAATCAAGATCAAGTTACGGCTCTCAAAATTGCCACCGGCTCTTTGAGGCAAACTTTTGAGTTCTAAAAATGGTCCTACTCTCTGCTTAATTATTTTTATTTTTTTGTAGGTCATTACGGCACCCTTCCCAGTACCAAGACAATGGGCAACATATCAGAACACGCCGCAGTACACTCCATCCCCACCTCGCCATCCCATGGGACGTTAGCCCTCTACAACACTCTGCCACCTCCCTGCAAGCAAGGCATTTCCAACACCGGCAACTCCCACGCCGAAATCTCGTCGCCAATCGTAAGAGAAGATGGGACACTTGATCGTCTGCACCGGACACACCCTGCCAAGGTAAAGGATATCCAAGTTTGACGAACCGTGTTGCCCGGATTTTCCATGCAGAGGTTTTTATTTTATTTTTGTGGGGGGGCATATTCACACGAGTCCTTTTTTCCTCCCTCAGTTAAGAAGCACACTTGATCGTCGTCCTGTGGCAGCCGGGGTTCCTTCTCAGCCCATTACATCTCAGTCGCTGCAAGGCAAAACGGTGAGTTTTAGACTACTTCTTCCAGACGCTGTTCCAGTGAAGCCAAACTTTTTACATTTTGGCTTTCGCAGCCATCAGACTTCTCGCTATCGCTCGTTACTACTGGCTGACAGCGCTGTTTTCACCGTTTCACAGACACGGCCTGACTTGTCCACTTTGGGGGACTTTAAATTTATGCGGTATATTTGAGCATGTGATTTAAAACTTGCGTAGTCAATTAAAAAATAGAGAAAAACAGAGAACTGAGTTGTCACAAAGGACTTCAGAGACAGGTCGTGTGGAGGTCGTGGATGACGATTATTACGTTTGTGAGACATCACTCACTTGACCGGACCGGTTATTTTGTTTTCAATGTAGCAGTTCATTTGTCCTCTGTGTGATGCTTCACGTAGCCTGAGGAACTGACACTGATGCTCATCAAGCTCCGCCGGCAGCAGGCTGAGCTCAACAGCTTGCGGGAGCACACGTTATCCCAGCTAATGGCCCTGGGAATAGAGGGGCCCAACCCCAAGGTCAGCACTGAGCGTATGGATGTGGCGCATGTATGGGTGTGTGTTCGCGCCTGGACGCGGTCTTTGGTGCTGGCGTTGCTTTTGCGGGCTAAACGTTGCATACCAGCGGATGCATGCGTCTTCAGGCCGCTTGCTGTTCAGTCCAAATGAAATTGAATTTGGTTAATTATGATTCTATATTTTTTTAAATTCTACACTCCAGAATCAGTTTCATGTTGGAAGCATTGCGATAATTTGCTGTGATTTATGGTTGGTGTTTTTTGGGGGGGGGTGACGCTTGGGATGTAGAGGGGATGTGTGTGCATGTGTGTTTTGAGCATGAATATCCGTGTGAATGTGTCCATGAAGATCAGACATTTTCCAATGACATATCTCCACATATATTCACTGTTTTCTGATCCCGATACCAGCCACCGATACTTGAAGCCAAAACTATATAAATATCTGACATTGCGGCTTCCTTGCCAGTAGTTGGTGCCAAACTGGCACTCGTGTGTCTTTCTTCACCATATTTCTACAGTACTTATTCATTTTTTTCAAATCCCCCGTTCTGTCAGCCCACTATTTGTTTCTGAGCATAGGGATTCATCATTAATTCTGTCAATTGTGAATTTACCTCATCTTGAAGCAATTGAAGTCGAGTTGAGCCCACTGTTGAACTGCAAGCAGCAGACGTGCCAGCCTCAACTGGTTAGCTGTCGACAGAAGAACACGATGTCAGGTTGAAGAGTTGAACGTGCGCAAAGAATTCTGCCGTGGTGGAACTTTTGTGGGAAGCATTACTCCGTTGAAATTACGATGAGCAGGGTTGAGAAGATTCCGAGAGGTTATCCGCCTTTGATGACGCTAAAAATAATTAAAAAAAAATAGCCAGATGATTTCCGGTCATCGAATTTGAAAAACTAGACCGATATAGTGCATTTGAAGTTAAGGCTTGATAAAACCCTCTTTTCATTTCTTCCTTCCGAATGAGAAATTCAGTCGACTCCTTGAACCCATCTTACCAAACAGAGCTCGCTTTCTGCTTCTTTTCCCTCCTTTTTCCTGCTGCCACTGCAGACTGATGTTCTGTCTCATCATCTTCAGAGGAACCTTGTTTACCTGGAAAACCAGGTGAGGACAAACTGACCTTCCTCTGTTTGAGCTGCATTAAAAAAAAAAAAAAAAAGTGGAGGCATCTTACATTATATGCGTGTGCATATGGTGGTCAGAGAACGAACGAACTAACTGATGTGACTGCGAGTCACCCAAATGCATAGCGACCAACTTCAACACTCCGAGGATAAGTTTCATTGGACAGATGAGACAAAGCTGGAGTTTTTTTTTTTTTTTAAGTGTGAGTCCTTTTCTAAGAGTGAAATAATAATAAAATAGGATGTGGTCCGTGTAAGTGAATTTCAGGCCATGTTATGTTGATGATAATAGGAGTATATAGTGCGTGAAAAACAGAGGAACCAGTACCGGGCCCTGGGGAACACGTTGGGAACTGCTGTTCACAGACTTTGCTCCGGGTGTGATTGCTGAGCTCTATGTTGGGCGCCAGATGCGATGTCTTCGGTATCCTCAGCAATCACATCATGTACTGTGTCTCCCGAGTCTCTCCCGATCTCTCACTCTCTCTCTCTTTCTTCAGCTTCCGAGGCTATGCCCCATTCCGGGCTCGTACACACGACCTTTCAGCAATCACCGAGGGGCACTATTATGTATATTAGCATTGTCAAATTTAGTCGAACCCGTATGTTTGACACTCCTGGTGTTGGGCATCATGACAAGGATGTTGTAACCTCCGCTGACTGGGCCTCCGGTAGCTTGTCCAGATTTTCATGACGATGTATCGCAGTGCATCTTCTTATCTCCTCAAATCCCACTTTGGGAAAACTTCCACGGATGTGCTTTGAAAGTAGCAGCTTGAAACAAAGATGACAGCCCCATGTCCTGTTTTTTTTTAATTTTTTTATTTTTATTCCCCTCCTTACCACTCTGCTAGAAAAAGGAGAACGAGCCCCTTATCTTCATGATTCACACTATGATCGAGAACTCGGCACCACGGCCGCAACTCTACCAGCAAGTAAGATTTCAGGCAGGTTCTGGCTTGAGTCACTGTTCAGTCAGTCAGATTGGGATTCGGCATCCGTGTCAGCTGCGTACGTGCAGTGAGTTTGCAAAATCGCTGTCCTCCTTTTCTCAGACAGTTGACTCAAGCTGGACCTTTGCCTTTGTATCCGACATGATGTTGTATCCATGTCCTCCCTTCAGTATGCGCCACCCGTTTCTCCATTTTGGATGTCGTCAGTCAGTTGGTCATGTCCACAAGGTGGCAGCGTCATGATTTATCATTTGTCAACGTGGGTTTTAAGTTATTTCACCGGCTGCTTGCTGTTGAGTTGAACATGGCTTGTAGTTCAATGCTACACAGTCATGGATTTCCCATTTCCCCCTCCGTGTCCTCAATGCTGTCCATGGTGTACATTGTGTCTTCCAATGAGGACTCTTATGTTTTGAAACCGTCACGCATCATTTCTTTCATCTGTTGCTGATTTGAATGGTCTGCCGAAACGGTTTAGCCCTTTTTGAACCAACGATCGATCCGCTTGACACATTGAAACATCATTTGCAAAAGGGTGATTTTTCTAATTTGGTATGTAGGGTGTTTCCTGTAGCAGGAAAAATCACACTTTTCGCCTTGTTAAAACGATCTGCCTTTCATCACGTGAATGGATTTTTTTTCCCCCCCTGAATGATTGAAATTCATCCAACCTTTCATGTTATTCTTTCATGTTTGTTTTTCCTCCCAGATCACCCCAGATGAGTACAAAGACTCCTCTATCATCCAACCCAGCGATGACATTGATGTAAGGCAAACAGTATTTCGTGTGAGCGGCAGCATATTACAATTAGCAACTGTTCTTAACGCGCCATGATTTGCTGTGCCAGACCAAGTTGAGCAGATTTTGTGAGCAGGACAAGTTAGTGAGGATGCAAGAGGAGAAACTACAGCAACTTCACAGAGAGAAGGTAAAGTGTGTTCTTTCTTGGGGGTGGGGGGGTGTTGATATTTCAGGAAAACTGTTGTCTCGCAATGTGTATTGTCCATTCCCAGCACACTCTGGAGACAGCGCTGCTCTCTGCCAGTCAGGAGTTAAGCGACCAGAGTGATCCCAGCACCACAGCCACACAAAGTTTGGTCCAGCAGAGGGACGTGCTCCAAAATGGCTTGCTTAGCACCTGCAGAGAACTTTCCAGAGTCAATACGGTGAGCAGCCCTCGTGACGTACTCGGTCAGAAGTTGAGTTGAGAGACTGTAGGTCTCACGCAGCAGTGTGGTTTCAGGAGCTGGAGCGCTCGTGGAGGGAGTATGACAGGTTGGAGGGAGACGTGACTCTGGCAAAGTCCAACCTACTGGAGCAGCTGGAAGCCTTGGGCAGCCCACAGGTGACAGACACACACAGCGACACACACACTCAGTCAGTTGTTGCAGTCATCTACATTTGAACTGCGCCTGTACGTCCGTGTGCACGCGCGTGTGTGTGCGTGTCTTCAGACCGAGCCTCCCAGCCAGCGGCACATTGAGATCCAAAAGGAACTGTGGCGGATTCAGGATGTGATGGAGGCCCTGAGTAAAAATAAGCCGCAGCGCAGCATCGACAGTGAGTATTAGTTATTCGCCTGTTTTATTGTGCTGTGACAATTACAGAGTAAAGCAATTAAAAAAAAAAACACGCACACACATGCGGTTATTTTCACACTTGAGCTAATAACACTGAGTCATACAAAAGGATTTTTTTTTTCTTCGCAGATTGTACTGATTCCAAGCCACTCTCCAGCCAACAAAAGAATGAGGTAAGCTTCTGCATCTAACCCTTTTTTTAAACCTTTATTAATATTAGAATACAGTTTATTTGTGAGACAACATGATGTATGGCGGGTGAGCACAGCCGCCTTGCAGTCTGGAGATTTGGGTTTGAATCTCTTTTGGAACATCTCTGTGTACTTTAGCTTTCTCCCATGTTGCAAAAAAAAAAAAAAAGACATTTGCTCACTGGTGCGAAAGGGAACATTTATTTGGAATACTGTATATGCCATGTGATTTACGCAAACTCACACACATCTGGTTTTACGGCGGCCTCTTACAACCCTGAAGTAGATTCTTCTTTGAACTATGGAAGCCTCTCAGATTTATTCATTTATTTTTTACTGTCAGAAACTACAAGTATTAACAGCGACACTGCCCCCCCCCCTCACCCCCCTTCTTGCATGTCAGTCGGTCAGCCAAAGTGGCATTATGTAGTTTCTTGGCATGAGACCAGCTGTGTTAACTTTTAACAGGCAGCGACATTGTTGCCACTCAGTCCTATCAAGACGGGAACGGGCGTTCCCCCCCGTCCACCTCTTCCACAGTACTACTATTCCTCCGAGCACCCCCCTCACATGCCCTCCCACCATCCAAACTCCAGCAGCCGCCTGCCTCCTTACACACAACGTCCCGAGGACCGCAAAGCCGGCTCGCGGAATGGCGCGCACAGTGTAAGCGCAACGGAATACGCCCTCAGCTTGCTCCATCCTATCTACATGTTTGGTTTCATCGATGTCTGTGACATCAGTCATTCACCTGCGGAAGAATTGGTGTTGTTTTTGTCGTTTGGCATTCAGTCTCGTCTTTTCACATCCCCACTTCATTTGAGACCCTTAGTTGAACGTTACGAGGCATTTCAAGTGAACAGATTTTTTTTTTTGTGTGCATATTTTCAGTCAGTCCGATCTGTTGGCATGCTGTTACATTTCTTTCTTTTAGTGCTGTGTGTGATGACCGTCTCGCTTGCGTGTTATGTTTCTTAACCCCTCCACCGCCACAGCAAGGTCCGGACTATCGGTTGTACAAGAGCGAACCCGAGCTGACCACCGTCAAAGAGGAAATGGACGAAGTCAACGGTGAGGACAAGGACAAGAATGACATGACTGCTGAGAATATCGATACTGTCACCACCAAAGGTACTGAAATACTCGCCGGGACGTTTTTATACTTATGTGAAACTTCTAATTCATATGACGATTGTTTAACGCAGCAGTACCCCTCTACCCAGTGGGTATTGTTCCCCCGAGAAGCAAATCTCCCATGAGCCCTCCGGAGTCCACGACTATTGCCTCCTACGTCACCCTGAGGAAGACCAAAAAGCCTGAATCCAGATCGGTACGTTTTGCTCGTCACAATACATCTCCAGGATCTGATTAAATACCGCAAGTCTGCGTTTGGGTCTTTGCAGGATCGTCCCAGAAGCGCACTCGGAGACCAATTTGGCTACGTAGAGAGAGAGGTGGGCCGACCCCGAATGAGTGTGGAGGAGCAGATGGAGAGGATGCGGAGACACCAAGAGGCGTCGTCGCAACGAGAGAAGAGGAGAGAAGCCCTCTCCCGCTCGCATTCATTTAGCAAGGATGAGCCCTTTGTGATGCCGCCGGTATTGAACGATTCACACCCTGACTGTTGAGATCAAGTATTTTGCTCTTGCGCTTGCTGTCTTCCATTACAATGGTCTGATCATGGTTTTGTTTGAACCAAAAGGAGGTGTGTGAAGACGCATGGCGTGACAGGGAAATGACCCCGGAGAGTGGACACTTACTGCAAACTGAGACCAACGACACAGGAGATGAGGTAGGCGGCCAAAACCACGGACATTTCACCGTAAGCGCGAATGAGAAGTTCCAACATGATTAGTGAAAATTTCCATCCAGCACAAATGAACATTTTACAAATGTAGTTTACAAACTACATTTGAGATTCATTGAATGCGTGCAGCTCACACAGTTTAAATGCACAGACCCTCCCCACGTACGTTTTAAAATGATCCGACCTTTTTGCGTTGCTTTTTTTTCTCCCCCCAGCTGTGTGAGAGGCAGACGGCAGTGATTTTGGACCAGCGCGCTGAGACCCAGCACGTGGAGATAGTAAACCTCCACTCCTTTGAGGAGGACAAAAGCAGAGACGATATGAGCAGCTCGCCAACCAATATCACCTCTGAAAACAGGTGTGTACCTTCCACTGAATATCGACGGCATAATTTGGGGATTATCGTCTCATAATGTTAAAAGACTCCGGTGTGCTCCGCACACAGCGTTGACATCTTGTCTCTGGCTCATTGCAAATTGCCTTCATTTTCAATGACCAGCTTCCAGAGTCCTGATCCAGAGACGCCAAGCCCTGAGCCAAAAGAAGGTGAGGTTGATGTGCTCCAACAAAATGCCCGGGAGGGCAGCCTGGAGAACCACTTAGAATCCTACAGCCAGCTCCCAGCAAATGACAAGAAAAACAACAACAACAACTTATTGGGTTGTAAGTATTACGCCATCGGCGACAAAATCTAATGCCTAATGCAAATCAAGTTTAGTGTGAAAATCTAGCAAAAAAAAATCTGAAAATGAAGCAATCTTAGCAGTAAACAAATGCACAGGTGATGTCCAAGTCCATTTTGTAAACTTTCACAAAACGGGTTGCCTCGGTGTATCTCTTTGCATATTTAACTCCCTTCATTGTTCTTGGCCTTCCAGCACAAATATTCACCCTGGTGAGCAACGACACGTGAGCATCGAAGCTGGACGTCGGCGACGACGTCCCATCGAGCCCCCCCCCAAATGTAGCAAGTTGCAACGAGCATGCTCCCCGGCTTCCTGCATTTATCACACGACGACTGTGACACGACAAAGGAGACTGAAAACAGGACCGCAAGCAGAGTGGCCGAGGCAGAGACGTTAGGTGTACATGTCCTGATCCCAAAGGTTTTCTACAATTAAAAAAAAAAAAATTATTATATATATTAGTACTACGTTATACCCTTATCCTTTTTTCCATGCTGCTCAAAGAAAAGTTGCCATGGCAGAAGCCTGACATCTGACATTTTGTCTTAAGACTGTGAACTACAAATAATAATGCAAGTCAATGCATTTGGTGTAAAGAAGCGTAACAGAACAACAACAACAAGAAAAACTGTTTGACTGAAGAAGTATTAGGTTGACAGTCAATTTGCAAACATCATATTAAGCTGATCGTAACCCTGGACCAAAAACATTTTGTTTGTGGGCTTTTACACAGAGATCCCGCATAATTGCTACATCAGAGCCAAAAGGGAAGATTTTTCATCTCTTCCTTTTTTTCTTTTTTTCTTTTTTTTTTACACAGAATTCAGCCAAAGCTGGAGATTGCCACAACTGTGCGCTTTTCACAAAGTGACACCATTCCGCAGGCAGGTCATTCGATGCCTGACGAGGTCAGCGCCAGACACATAAAGTCCTTATCTGACGGTGACGTGACTTTTACCACAACAGGGCAGGAGAAGTACATTCCCAGTGTTAAACTTCAAATCTCTGTCCCGGAAAGGCCGCAAATTCTCTGAAGGGAAAAGGTGGGAAATTGTGTTGCTTTTGCCGACGGCGTGAACTTGAAGCCCTCGTTTAACAACTCAAAACGAATTTTGTGACTCGAATGTAATTAAGAATAGAAATTAGATTTTGTTTCGAAATAGTTAAAATTTTGATATGCCGTACAAATATTAGTATTAAACCTACAATCTAATATAATTATATAATTTACATTATACAGACTTGGTGAGGGGTGGGGGGGGCGGGGTGTAGTTGATGATGTTGAAGTGTACAGTTGTATATAGTGGAGCATTTGAAGTCTTCTAGTGAATGGCATCACACGACAACACATCCAGTGCTTTATTTCAAATCCAAAGTGACCACTACTACTGGGTTCTGTTTGAACTTACTATAATTTTCATCGATCTGGATTGATTCGACAGGGTCGTTTCCAGTCACATTTGGAAGGGGAGAGGGGGGAAAAAAAATAAAATAAAAAGGAAATGGTGAATGTGTCTGTTCGAGCTGGTGGAGAATCAGAGAATAGCACATCTACGAAGCAATAAGTGGGACTTGAGAACACAAAAGAAATGAAAGCGATGTAAAATCTGTATATATGAAAAAAATAATTTATGTACACATTCAAACGAAAGAGCAAATATATTAGAGAGATTGTTATTAATGTAATTAGGTCCTATATGCAAAAAGCTAAAGTTCATACCCCATGTGTTTTATATTGTGTAATAAATGTTCATGTTCATACAAACTTGATTGCTTTTTATCGCCTGGTCTTTGAGCACCCAAAAAAAGTCATTTCGAAAAGTTTTGTTGCGTGTCTTTTTGTACGTAAAAAGTGTCTTGACCGTTTCAATGAAATGTGCATTTATTTCTTTTTGGATTCTTTAAAATGTGAAATCATTTAAAATGTTTGTGAATCCACGACAAAGTTTGCGTGCACCTTGCAGGATGCGAGTTTCTTCATTTTCTGTTTGTTGGAACACGTGGAGGAGTTCCACCACAATGCCAAAGATCGTCGACATGAGTGAAAATGAGCTACTCTTACCAACTAAAGCGGTGATGCTGAATTTGTATCGCTACAACTGCGATAAAAACGTTTTTTGTTCGATACATGGCACCGCTAAACTTGCTTTTTATTTCATATAGTGTACAACATGCTATTTTGAAAGTCCAAAGGGAAAGAATTTTAAATTACCGAGTGATTAAAAAGCACAGCTATACGATCTTTGGCCGTGAGCAGTCGTGACGTCACAAAAAACGCCTGCTGTGTTCAACGCTTGAATTGCAGACGGCGAAGAGAAGCATCAGGAAAGCAACTTTTTTTGTTTTGTTTTTTTAAACAGGAATAACCTAAAATAAATAACCGTGGGGGGTAAATATGGCTCAGATAACAGCTGATGGAGCCGAACCAGACTCTCGGTCAACGTTGGAGCACAATGACAACGGAGAAACCGTCCGTACCGGCTTCGAGAGACAGGCCGTGTCGGACTCCAAACAGGAACCGGATAACAAGAACGACATCGGGCTAGAAATTGACGTTAGTGGCGACCGAGGTGCTGGAGCGCAAAACGACCACAACTCGTTGCTTGGAAAAGACGAGCGAGACTACGGCAAACTCTCCGAGCCGGCCAAAAGTCCCGCACAGGGGAGTCTTGCGAGTAGCACCGAGTCCGCCCAAGAGGGCTCCCGGGTGCTGAAAGCAGAACAAAGGGAAGGAGGCGACGGCTCTCCCTCGCTGCCAGCGGAGCCCACAAAGGCCGCGGAGAAACACGAGCACGGCGTGAAAAGACGGGCCAGCGTGGAAGTGACCTCGTCCGACGGGGAGCCGCTCAGTCGGATGGATTCAGAGGACAGGTCTGGGAAAGTAGTAACTCAAGAAGCATGGCGACTCGGTCACTGGTACTCCAAATCTTGCTAGTGAGAACAGGTTCGCCTAAACATGAAGGTTACAATCGAAAAGTCGTCACTTTTCTCAACCATTCCTGCGCAAACAACGGCACACTCAACGCAAACCAGATGCAAGTTTCAAATGAAATGTGTGTGTCTGCCATCCTGCCTCATGCCTTGAAGCAACTGAGCAAACTGGAGTGCATTAATTGGTTACAACCAGATGTGGCGCTATTGTTTACTTCTCAACATAATTTGCAGTACACTTTCAACCAGAGCTGCATACAAAAAAAGTGCTCATTCCATGTTTTTAAGTGCATTATAATAATCCATCTGAGATGCAACAGAGACATAGATTACTGTTTCTAAGTGCTGTTGTGAAAGGAGAGGCCTTATAGAAGCCACCTGAGAGCAGGGGGTGAGAGAGGAGAAGCGGCAGTAAAACAGCCCTACATGTGATGCAAGATTGTAAAAGTCAAGATTTAAACATTTCAAATTTTCTTCAGTGCTACTGGGTGCTGGGACTTTCAGAGAATTAATCAAGGGGCTGCTCAAAGTGTCGCGATATTGTAGTACCGTACTGTAATATTTTTTGTCTTTGTTGTTTTAGTATCAGCAGCACTCTAATGGACATGGAGAGCATAGCATCAAGTGGCCGCTCCACACCAGCGATGTTTAACAGTCACGGCGGGACTATGGTTGCGGGCAACGGCCCAATGCCGGTGAACGGCAAGTCATTGAGCTACACGTGCTGTTGGGATCACTGCCAGGTACATTTTTCCTCCAGTCCCGATCTGGCCGATCACATCCGAGCCACCCACGTGGATGGACAGAGAGGAGGAGTAAGTGTTTTATTTTATTTTTGTAGTGTGACAGATGAACGTTAATTGGCCGGTTTCGTTCCCTAAGGTTTTCTGAATTGATTTTACATCATTTGCAATTCGCAAAGTTGTTCTCAAATGGGAACAACTTGAAAGTCATTCCTCATCTTTGATCATATTGTGTTTAACTGTGCAGGTTCAAGACACTTTTTCTTAATGCGACTCAGGAATGTACACTTTTGGTGCGTGTGCTTGTTTTGCTCCCCCGCAGGTATTTGTGTGTCTGTGGAAGGGCTGTAAAGTTTACAACACACCGTCCACCAGTCAGAGCTGGCTGCAGAGACACATGTTGAGTCACAGCGGCGACAAGCCTTTCAAGGTGACGTGCCGCTCACAAATTGTCACCGCCGCGCATTTTTGTCTGCCGCTCCGTAATGTGTGCGCGTGTCCCATCTGTGGGTGCAGTGCGTGGTCGGCGGCTGCAATGCCACGTTTGCCTCGCAGGGTGGGTTGGCGCGGCACGTGCCCACTCATTTCAGCTCTCAGAGTTCGTCCAAAGTTTCCAATCAAGGCAAAATGAAGGAGGAATCTCCATCAAAGGCCGGCCTCAACAAGAGGAGGAAGCTCAAGAACAAGCATCGACGCTCGCTCCGTACGTACACATAAGCATGCACGGGTGAATCATCGATGATCACATTCATCTGTTATTCCATTTCTGTCGTCACAAGTAGAACAATCATTGTCTTTTAATTTTTTCCATTAAAAAAGAAAATCTTTTCTTATTCAGCCCGCCCTCATGATTTTTTTGACGCTCAGACCATGGATGCCATCCGCCATCGAGCGATATGCCTCAACTTGGCCACACACATAGAGAGCCTTGGAAACGGACACAGTGTTGTGTTCCACAGCACGGTACACACTCAAACACACACACACGCGCACACACACACACACACACACACACACACGCACACACACACACACACACACACACACACACACACACAGTGCAAAAATAAACAAACCAAAAAAAAAATGCACTAGTGTTCTCGTGCCAGAAATGTAGAGTGTATCTTTGTGTTTTCAGGTCATAGCAAGGAGGAAAGAAGAATCTGGCAAAGTTAAAGTCCTTTTGCACTGGACACCTGAAGACATGTAGGTTTTATTTTTTATTTATTTAGTTAGTTGCACTCCCATTATTGTGATGCAGTGCACATCTTTGTTTATTGTCATTCAATGTAAACTTTTTTTTTTTTTTTTTTTTTTTAAAGACTGCCTGATGTTTGGGTGAGTGAGAGTGACCGAGTGCACCAGAAGACCAAAGTTGTGCATCTGTCCAAGCTGCCAACTGACACAGCTGTTCTACTGGATCCCAACATTTATAGGTGTGTACGTGTGTGTGAGGGGAAAATGAGCCCAGGAGAATTAAAATAATCTCCATTTTTTTTTTTTTTTAAAATCCCCTCCCTCTCTCACACAGGATGTTCTTCTAAGAATTTCTTCTCGTCCTGAAGTCGAACTACATACAAAGATTTTTAGAGAGTTTAGAGACTTATTTTTGTGGTTAGGAGCTTAATCTGCGAAGATATTTAGGGATATTTTGTAACTAGGTTCAGAGGAGTCAGTTTGGACACATTTGTAGAGAGAAGCAGTCTGTAAATATTTGAGATTTGTAATATATTTTTTTACCTCCATTTTTTTTTTTATGGACCGTAGATGTATGTACCTTTTCAAACAAACATAAAATAGTTGACATTTTTGAGGCAATTATCAGGTTTTGTCAGCACCGTGAAACAAATCGCCTTAAACTGTCATTAGTGCTGTACTGCCTTTTTCTCTTTTTTTCTCCAAAATGTGACCTTTTAATAAGAGAGCCTCGAAGCAACTGATCTATCTGCTGTATTGTTCCTGTGTGACGTGTGTTTTCTTAGGCATATAAAGTTCACAAATTGAGACTTCATCCTTTGTATTTGTCTTATTCACACACACATTATGTTGCCAACATCTTCAAAACAACAACAAAAAAAACATGGGCACTTATCATATCAGTACATCAAGTACACAGCTACAGAACTGCATTTTCTGAACAGTCCATACATTTGACAAGTGTCAATGCAGTATTCTGGTCGTAATCGCTATTTAAAAGGAGAAAGTTTTGAACGTCATGGAGAAAAGGAGGACTTTAGGACTCCAGCGAGTTGCCATGAGAGCAATTATTCCCCAAATGGAGAAAACATTGAAAAGTGGTGAACTCCGAGGCCTATTCAAAGTTTGCACTCGAGGTTTTTAGTGATCCTCAGGCAGCCGACTGTCGGCCACAATACTAATAACTCTCATTTTCACGTTGACAACAAATGAAACCTCAGGAGAATCAGTTGAGGTATAAACTCAAACAGGGAATGGTGCCCCCACCAAGGTGGCCGCCACGTACGCACTCGATCAGCGGGGTCCTGACACATCGTGACGTCATCACCAGTGGCCGTAAATCGCATACGGTCCTGTCCTGTGTTAGTCCGATGGCTGGACTCCTGAAAAAGGTACAAATGGAGGTCATTGTTCGTGTGTTTGGTATTAACCAAAAGTTAAAAGATGAATATCATATTTTCACGAGTTTGTTTAATCGTTGCTGTCCAATAGAGTGGTTTGTATTCGATGTCATGAGCACAGTAAAAAGTGACAGCTTTAGCTAGCGGCGAGTTCACCTCTTCATGAGCCATTCTCGAGTATTTATACGATAATTTTCTCTGTTAATATTCACATTTACTTAATGACAATATGTGTTGCACGGGGCACTTATCTCGCAGCAAGAGTATGGTTAAAATTATATCCGAAGCCATTTTTACTGTCTAGAAAACAACTTGGGATTTGAGGAAATAATTGCATTTTTCATCGCCGTCTTACTTGTGCCTACATGTATTTTAAACGGGTACCAAACAGCAATGCACGATTTGTGTGTTCATGTAAAATGTGTGTAAACCTTAATCCACTTATTTTCAGTCTGGGCGTAGAAAGTGACTGCTTTGATAGTACTTTTATAGTTTGTCTCATCCTATGTTATTTTAACACTATTAATATTGACTGTTTTTATTTGTATTTTCTTACTCGTGAATGAAATGTCGAAATTCCTGTAATTCAAATCAAGACCTCGTTTTAAAAGTTCCCCCATTGCTCTCTTGTAGACAACCGGCCTGGTTGGCCTGGCAGTGTCCCAAAATCCACATGAGGTAAGAAGGCGACATCCAGTCGAAAGTCGTGCCAGTATGCATCACATCAGCAAATGAATTTAAAAAGCAAGTCAAAACGAAATTTAAAAACACTAATGAAAATCCTACAGCGACTGAGGATTCTCTACTCCAAAATCCTGGCATCTGTGCAGAGCATGCCACAAGACGCTGCCTACAGGAAGTATACTGAACAACTGGTTAATGAGCGGTTTAGCCATGTCAAAACTGTAAGTACCATCTTGATATAAAAAAAAAGTATTTGGTTTGCACTGTTAAAGTTTGAGACTGTTCATGTTGACGCTTTGAAAAGTGACATTTCAAACATTTGAATATCACTGATGATAAAATGTGATTATGTTTTATGGTCGGTGCAATACAATGAAATGTTTGGTTCACAGGAGCCTGATGTTGAGATGTTGGAGAAGAAGATCAACTGCGGACAAATTGAAGAGGTCATTTTCCAGGTAATGTTAACAGTGCTGGGATGCGATTTTGACTGTTTTGACTCAAGAACACGAGTTATGTGATTTGGGTGGACTTCTTCGGTTCCATTTGAAGTGACTTATAGAAATAAACTCAAGCATGGCATGTTGATGCTCTTTTCATGTCTGCAGGCAGAGTGTGAGCTGGCTCTGTCCAGAAAGATGGCCGAGTGGAAACCGTGGGAGCCTCTGATTGAAGAACCACCTCCTAACCAGTGGAAATGGCCCATCTGAAAACACTTGTGAATTATAATACTAATCCTATTATGAATAAAACGACTCCCTTCAAATACGTAGTTATTTAAACTGTTGTGTCGTTTGTAGTGATATGACTTGGGCATTGCTTGAGCTGGTCCTGAACCTTTGATAGATACCAAAAAATAAATCACCTTTAATTTGTCGCCATTACATTCCGGCCAGTTTTATTTTTCATCAGTGTCAACTGGAAAATCAGAAGTTGAGCTACAATACAGGAGATCAGAACCATTTTAAGCACTCTGTTGTCATTTCCCTTCCGACGAAGTGGCTCTCTGCAAGAGCTGGAGCATTATGGGATAGATTGGTGCAAACTCCTTCCCCTGGCGAGCCCTTACAGACTGCACATACGCCTCCAAAGAGCCCCTAATGAAAAGCACAAAGATTAAAAAACATCCACGTCCATTCTTATTGATGCGCTTACCTGATGAGGGTGAGACGGTCTCTCTCTGATGGATGGTCATCCATCCACTGGGAGTAACGGGTGACCGACCACTCGGCTCTCTGTGAGCGGCAAACTTCAATTATATACTGAAGCAAGTTGTACATGTACATCAACTCCACTCTTTTTTTTGTGTGTGTATTTCTCAAAAATGAACGTGTGTTATTTCTACATGCCTGGTTAGGTGACTTAAGCTCAGACGGGGCCCTGGCGAAGAGGAAGTGAAGCACAGTGCTGTAAGGAATCAAGTCCCCCACAGCTGGACTCTTGACTATCAGGTTACTTGTCTGAAACAGCAGCGGCCTGAAAGATAGCCGTGATGTCCAGTTCCTCAGTTAAAACAGCACTGCAATGGTTCTTTTAAGTATTGGCATGCTTTGCCGCGACCATTTTTGCCGTTGTTGGCAGCAGCATTTCTGCTCACAAGCTACCAACATCGGCCACACGAGGGCGCCATAAAAGCTATTGTCTCTATTCTCCAGATAAACGTAAATGCATGAAGAAGTATGTATCTACGCGTCACGCTGGACCCGCGCGACGCGCAGGTGGTTAAGTAATTTGAAAGGGACACTAGTGATTTACGACCCGTCAAAGGTATTTTTTGGTTTGTTTTTGTTTTGTTGGGTTCTTTTTGAGCTGTTGTGCCTTCACAAGAGGTGAGTGGCATTGCCATTTAACGATTAGTGCTCATTCATTGGTTAATTCCCACCACGACTGCCGATGGACGTGCGCTATAATTAGCATTAGCTGGCGCAAAATTGGCACAGCGAATATTGTCATTCTCGTTTACCTCACTTAATGTGCTTTATATTGTTTGTTTATCCGACAACCACGTTAGTATCCAAGTTGGAGGAACCCCCATCCTCGAGTACGTTTTGGCTCAAGGAGGGCTTCCATTTAAAGGTAAGTTGTTTCATTATGTCACCTGCTAACTTGCCGCCCTTTGAATTCTTTGACATGATCGATTGGCCATATTGAGTATATTCTCTCTTCTGTCACATATGCCTCAATCCCAATAATAGAGTTTTGTTTTGTCCAATTAAAAGTTTCAAAGAGCCAACCTACCTAAAGGAACGAAGCACTCTGTAAGGTTTGCCCAAATCAGACACTCTCCTGCATAGCGGAGCCACAGCCATCTCCATCTTAGAAAAAGACAAGTACAAATATTCAAAATGATGTGGATGAAAACAGTCAATTGAAAACATTCTTTTTAAGCCCTAACTTGTGCAAAGTCAGCGGCCAGACGCATCTTTCCCCCTTCGCCCAGTGGGCGCAACAAGCTGGCATGCCGTACGAACAGCTCAATGGCTCTCTGAGCAATTGACTCGGTGCTTTCGTAGATGAAGTCTGTACACTCGAAGTGTCTGAAGTAGTCGGTCATGACTCTGGAGATGAAGCCCTGCAACTCCTTCATGTAAAGGGAGCAGACAACATCAGCCGTATCAGGGCTGGGGAGCTTGCTGCAACACAGAAGGACAAGTATTAATGCACATAAATACTCTTTTGTATATAAATACTTTCGTATTTAAAGAACTGACCCTGAGAAGTCCTCCTGGTGTAGCGTGATGATGATGGCCTCGATAGAATCACTGACTGACTGTAAGAGAGGCTGCACTGCGCTGCTCATCAGTGCCTGCACTTCCTAAAATCCCCCCCAAAAACGAAAAAAAAAAAAAAAATCAATGGTACCTACAATGTCAGAACAAATGTTGACGTTCTGTCGTCATGTGTGACTTCAGCATGTCAGTGATTTTGTCTTCTGTTGCGCTAAAGTTGAACCAAAAAAACGTAGCACGGTGAAACTACGAGCGTTACGAAGTTGTTCACCTCCAAAGAAGAAGAGAGGGCCTCTGCCGGAGCTGCCAGACTTGACCCCAAACCAGAAGTAAACTGAAAATAGAAAATATAACGGTCACTTGCGTACCAGCCCATAGTGCAGGAATTTCAGAATCCTCATCTTACCTTGGCAACAGCCTGCTGCAGACGGTAAAGTGAATTGACGACTGCAGTGTTTCTCCTCTGGCCTTCAGATAACGGACCAATCACCTGACTGGCATCACTCTGAGTACACAACTACAGAATAAAAAGGAAATTAAGTCTAAAACTGCACTACACAATTTAAGTGCGCCTTATAGTAAAAAAAATAAATAAAAATACCGCAAACGTACCAGCTGTTCAGACTTGACACAAAAGAGTTGCACGGTCTTGGCAGCATTTTTGGCAACAGCAAGCGCGAGGTCTGAATCCATAGATGCTACATTCAGCTCACTGCAAACAACACAAAGTCATGGAATATTATTTCAATGATATCCAAAATGTAACGTGGATGCCATCTTGCCTGGTGGGCATTATTTCAGGAAATACCGTCACGAAAGAAAATTGCATGTCAAGTACTGGCCTGCTGATGGTCTTGATGATGCTCTCCAACTCATCGTTGGAGGGTGGGTTGCGCCCGCCCATCGGGAACACGAGGTTGATGGGGTCAAAGAGGCGAGAGAGAGACTTGGACAGGTAAGCTGCTTCATACGCTTGAAGAGAATCCTTCAGGGCCCTCTCCGGACTGCGCGCACGCAAATGAATAGTGAATGGAAGGTTTTTCATATCAGCTGTCTGAAAGCCTCTTTCGGTTAAATGCTTACTTGTAGTCCTGTTTGTTTTGAGAGAACAAGTCAAGGCTTTCGGTTTCTGGCTCCAGAGTGGCATCCATGCCGCCGCTGTTGATGAGTGAGCCGTGCAGGCTGGCGCTGTACTGCTGGAGCCGGCGCCACAGCTCATTGTAAAGTCGCAACAATTTAGGGTACTCCCCTTCGAACGCTTGCTTCAGGAAAGATGAGGCTGATGTACGAAAAATTAAATGATTATTGTCTGTTCCACTACACCCGTCAATGAATTACCTTGATGATTTTTCAGATCTGACTGTATATTACAGGCAAAAACAAAATACCTTGAGTTGCTTTGTGAAATTCTTCTCTTAATTTGTTCGTGACATCAGTCCAAAAGGTGTAGAGTATGTCAGGCTCACCATCCTGTCATTGAAATAAAAATTAACTATCATGAAAAACTTCAAAATATTCGAACCCTGATAGTGACTCACCTTAATAATCTCGTCAATGAAACACTTATGACTGACAGGATCTCTCTTCTTCATCAGGACCTTCTGGAGATGCTGCACCTAAGGAAGTTTGCGGGAAAAAAGATATGCATCTTATTCTTTCTCCCCCCGCCTATTCTTCAGTTCCTTACTTGTTTGCATGCAGCACAAATCTGGTCCATTAGTTTCTCCAGGTTTGTCCAAAGAGCAGCACGGAAGGCTGCCGTGCTGCCCGGAGTTGGGAGAACGGCTCTTCCGGGGGCACCTGAGGTAAGAAAGGCCATTGGATGCACTTGAAATTCATGTTAGGAGTCACCTTTTCATTTACACTTCTGGCCACTTTTTCTTTTTTTTTTTTTAACAAGACAAACTAATTGTTACAGGTTTACCTCTGGGATTGGATGGCTGTGTCAGGCCCTTAATATCTAGAGCGCCAATGATGCTGTCATGTATGCTAGTCTGGTAAGCCCCCACAACAGAACTGATGGTCTCCTTTAGACAACCGAGGTTGTAGAAGACCTGCAAAGCTGTGCCGACCTGCGTAGGATTCTGACAGACACGGAGAGTGAAAAATAAATAGGCAGCGACAGAAGTGTCAAGTTTTTTTTGTGTGTGTGGTTTTATTACCTGAATCTCTGTTCCTTGCTCCAATAATCGCTTGGCCTGGTTCTCCACCTCCAGCCTCGCTCTACTGATTAATACTAGGTCACTCTCAATGACCTCGATGCCACTCAAATCAACTCCTTGTGACAGATAATCTGGCAGATTTGTGGGGAAAAGAAAAGAATGACACTGTGAGGTCATTCCTGGTACCACTCTAAACTGGTTCAATTCCTGTCTGGAGGACGGGGCGTGCTTTGTCCAAATTGGTAACTGCATCTCAGACCAAATGACGATGGGATGCCCAGGGATCAACCCCGAGACCTTTATTGTTCAATCTGTCAATGCTTACATTAGCTTCTATAAAGTGTCCTACCACAACTCTGCAAATACATTCAGATACTATGTGTCGCTGACAGCAGATGAACGTAGATTCGTTCTGCACCTTTTAATCATCATGAATAAACCTGACTTATTTGTGTTTGTGTGTCCACCAGGTAACTACGTGGTCTGCCCACTGGACTCTCTAAACGAGTTATGAGACAGCTGCAGTCCAACCAGACAGTTCCTGGAACAGAATTCGGAGGCTTCACTTGTACATTGTATGTTTGCCAAAACAATTGACTGTATGTCCTGACCGAGTTCGTTGAGACTGTGAGCAGCCTTTGTGATCTCCCGACTGCCACCCTGAAGCTGAACCTGAAGCCTCTTGCTTAGGTGCAATATCCGAATAATTCTCCGCAGAAGGTCGCAGGCCACCTGGACAGGAAAGGGACAGCAGAGGCAGGTACTACTGTGCTTTCAGTATCACTCTTGACGTTCCCAAAGCTAAATGGATTCATGTTTTAATAGAATAACTACGTGAAAATGTTACTACGCATGGTATCTTGAAAGAAAAATAGCGGTCTTACCTGTAATCTACTCAGCTGAGTGATCCTGGCCACGATCTTGTTGTAAGGGTCAACTATTTTGCTTCTTATCCTGAAAATACATCATCATGATGAATACTGTGCCAACGTCTACCTGTTTCTCTCTGATCCTCAGAGATCTTAAGCCAACAACCGCTAAATTCTAAACTTGGGACACAATGTGTATTGTCACTTGTCTCTTTTTTTTGTAGGTAAAAATTAAAAGCATCTAATAATCAAAGCAGCAGACTGGGGGTGGAAAAAAAAGGTGTGAAAACAGACACGGGATGTTATACCTGTCAACAGCTGCCTGCAGTGCACTGATCCTCGTCTGCATCATCTGGAGGACCCCTGAACACAAAGATGTACGTCCTTGCAGTAAAACTGCACAAACTTTTTTTGCTTCCTCACATTTCACTCCGTGCGATGTTACTCATTTAGCCCATCTATAGACATTTACGTTTAATTGAAAGATACTACCTTGCTTTTTGTCTTGTTTAATGCTTACCTTTGGTCTCAATTATTTCAACAACAAACAAAGACCACTCTATTTTTATTGTATATTGCATAATAGAAAAGTGTACCTTCCAGAGACTCGATCCCAGTTGCCTGAGCCAGTAAGTCCTCATGTCTGGCTACCACCTAGATGGCAAAGAGGGGAAAAAAAAAACAATTACATACTGTTGTATATTACAAAAGAGTACAGTTTATAGGAGTCCATTCAGATTGTGCTGATGCCATCTCTATACTGATCAAGTATTTCTGGACCTTTTTTTAAATGGGCTGCAAACGTCATTTAACTGTCTTTGTATTTAAAAAACTAGCCGGATTTAGGTGACTCGAGTGTTGTGCAGTGTGCGGCGTTCCTGCCTGGCTGTGCAGCTCTTTGTCAAGTTGACTGATTCCTTGTGCGAGCTTCGCCAGCTGTTCAGCAATGACAGCGTGGTGGATGGCTTGGGCTGTGTAAATCTTGACATCGAAATCCGCAGCCAGGAAATCCGCGTAGAACTCTACAAATACAGAAACGTGACTGATTTTGCACAACGATCGCCAAATATTCTAAAACGATGAAATATTTCAATAACAGTTGCTCGATGGGTCAATTTACCGTCTTTTAATGACGAATTCATAGATGCATCTCTGCCGTGAAGCAAGTTATCCATGTTGACTTCCGTAAACGACGAAAAGAATTCTTCTTCTACGGGTTATTTTCTTCGTCGTAGTAGCTCTATAAAAGAGTACGCCTCGCAAGGGTTTCGGCCGTTGCTGCGACACGTCAGCGCGTCTGCCATGTTGGGTGTGGCAAACCATTAACACATGGCCATTAACAGAACTCAATCTGAATTCCATAATGTGGCCTTTTACAAAATGCAAGTCTCGTTGGCTTATCAAAACACACACACACGTTTGGGAAACATCCCCCTCCAAAAAAAGCCCGTCTGTAAATGTTCTCTTCCAAAAATATTTTATTTATTGTCACAGTAATGGTGCAACAGTACATTGTAAACACTAATATATTTAAGAAAACAAATCATGTCATTTAATTTTCCTCGCAGGATGAATACAGTCTCTCTGTTTTGTTATAGTTAAATTTTGGTTCATGTTAATTGTAGATCTGTCTTTCTGTGTCCTGTTGTATTCTGCGTCAAGGCATCTCCATCCGCTCTCATCAGCTCTGCTCCTCGTGTTAACCAATCAACTACAAGAACTCACGTCCAGGTATGCTTCATTGAGTTTGACATGTTTATGCACTTGCTGTTGGTTCATTGCCATACGCCGCACATACTTTCTCAGGTTTTAGGCTTTTGTATTCTTCAATTTTGATCTTGTGAAGTACTTCTGTTCGTCTTTTCGAAATTAAATATAGCCATTAACCTCAGCGCACATAACTCGTACTCAGTATTGCGCATCGCTCACATAATGCCAATGTATTTGTATTTGTCCTCTATATTGTTGAGGTGCATAACAGGCTCAACGTTTACTTTCAAAGTACTTTATAACACAATGTGGACATGATATAGATTTGCAATTTTAAAAATATGACAGAACTTTATAACACAATGTGGACATGATATAGATTTGCAATTTTAAAAATATGACAGAATTTCAATATTTAAATCATACAGAGCAAGAAGGGTCTTGTAAAACATTTGGAAAGTAATAAAAACAGGGTATGTCATGGTATGTTGAGCGTAACTGACAAACAAGTTGGAATATCCGCTCATTCTCGCAAAACATCAAATCATCGTAAACACTGTAATTTCCTGCCAGAGTCAAATGTGTCTTTTCCAAAATATGAGTTTGACTTTTACAGTGTGAGGTGGCATGAGGTTAAAATCTGCTTTCTCCAAGTGGCAAGATTCCAAATGCATCCAAAGTAATCTAATCTGTGATAGTCTTTAGCAATAGTTTCTTTTAAAATACTGCACAAGATAGGTAATATCCATGAAGTTGATGGATGAATCGATGCAGCACTGAATTTGAACCTTTTAAAGAGCAAAAGATGTGACTTCCCAAACAATGAATAAATAAAAACTCAAAACACCAACGGATACACACATGGACAAAATACTTGTGACCCTTCTATTAAAGAAAAAAAATCACAATCGTCACTGAAATTCTGACATGTTTTGGTATAGCTCATGTAGAATGGAGAATAGCAACAGTGCCTTGTTGTTTCCAAGATATTCTACACTTAAAATGCTTCCAAGTTGTGGCTCAACCAGTCTTGAGTCCAAGAAATACTTCCTCCCGTTGCACACCATCTCCAAACCCGTGCACAGCTAAACTGTTCAACAGGATCCCAACTGCTGTGGAGGATAGCGAAGGTCAACTGTAAAGTTGCCAGGACAAAACAATGTCTAGCGGGCCGACTACGGCGCTCCCGTCTTCCTCCTCTCGAGCCGATCCAGCTTCTCCAGATTTTCTTTCAGAAGTTTGGAAGCAGGGTTGAGACTCAACGCTCTCTGGTAGTACATCCGAGCTGCTGCATAGTCTCCCTGTGGAAACACAAACAGACATGCATGCAATGTTGGGGCTTCTGAATGATCTAAGGCCTGCCTTGGAGGCAGTCACAAGAAAGAGTCATGCCATATCTCCTGCGGGACGCAGTAGGCAGCTGATGTGTATTTGCAATTTCCAATCAGCTATTGGTTATTATTGTTACACAGGATATTAAGTTTATCTTGATTACTGTCTTGTCATACCTTAATATGTTGAATCCCTCCCATGTTCATCCAGGCTTGTGACTGATCAGGTTTGAGTTCCACAGCCAATTTATAGCTCTAGTGAGGGGAAGTAAGTAAACAATGTGGTAAATAACATGAAACATTGACAAAACGGCAAGACAAGAACAGTACCTCGAAAGCTAGGTCTAACTGGTTCATCTCTCGTAGCTGGTTTCCTTTGGAGAAATACAACTCTGCTCTCACTGTGAGATCACTGGGATTCTGCTGTAGGGCACTGTTCAGAGCTTCCAGAGCCTGACACAAACACAGTGTCAAAATAGACAACCGGGTATATCTTCGAAAGTTCGCTGTACAGGTCTGTCTCTGTGCGGCCCGGTCCCAAACGGGCCGAGGCCCGGTACCGGTCCGCAGACCTGTGGTTGGATCACTGCTGTAAACTATACACGGTCATTTCCAGTGAATACTACGCCCCCTCATGTAATACAAAAATCAACAGCATTTTTTTCCTTTTTTATGATTAGCGTGAATAGTATGAAACAAGAAAGATTCAAAACATACCAATATAGTGTAAATGCTTTTAAATCCAGGTTAAAAACTACTCTCTTTCCCATACTAATTAATGACGTTCGGAAAAGTAGGTTAAAAGGAAAGACATACGTTCAGGCTTAGTTTCCATGGTAACTACTTGAATGGAACCCATCTTCAAGCGAGAGCTGAATAATTTTAACATTTTACGGTACACACCTCCGTGTGGTTGCCATGCTTGCTGTAGATGGAAGACAGGAGGCGGTAACATTCAATGCATCTGCTCCCTCTGGAAATGATGCCCCGGGTCATTTTCTCCGCATCTTTTGTCTGGCCGGCCATGGTTAACACCTGAGCCTGATTGGAAACAATAGAAAAGCACGATGCCAATATGCCACATATAAATATATTAGTAGAAATGACAAGAAGAGGCGTTTGCCACCAAGCTGTACTTATCACATAAGCTAACAGCTAAGCTAGCTTCTTCACCATCTTCCCCTCCGATTTGTGGGACTGATCTTATCTTAAGATGTGTGTGAAAATTTTTCCGAGCGCCGTGCTTATGGTGTATGCTTACCAGTGCCAGCCAAATGTCCGTGTTCTCTGGCTGTAGGCTAACGGCCTCTCTGTAAACTTTCAGGGCTTCATCGTAGCGGCCAGTGTTGTAGTACAGCGCCCCAAGTGGCGCAAGGATCTCCACCTTCCTTGTCACCTGAAGTGCTCTGCAAGCAAAGGTAAAGGATCGTGTTTACTCTTCAGTTGCATAATCCAGCTCCTTACTCCACGTCTGTATTCCTCCCGTACTTCTTCACTGGTGCTTGCGTTTGAAACAATCTGCCGTGCACTGCTGAAACACTTTAATTTCGCCCCCTGAGAACAGGATGATTTTCATCAGGGCTCTAAGAATAGCAGTTCCGGATTCATTTTTCTCTTGCAGATAAATTCCCATCATCAATCCGAGGGTGGGGGTGGGGGGGACAAACTAAAATCCATGCAGCTACCTTTTATACCAGGACTCTGCCTCTTGATTCAAATTGGAGGAGCGGAGAAGGCGGCCCAGGTTGACCATGGCCACATAGTGAGCTGGTTTGAGTTGAATTGCCTGCTGATAGTGAACAGCTGCCAGCTCCTCCTTTCCTGTGGAAGAGGAAGGCTCAATAGGATGCAAATGGTTTTCAGGAATGTAGAGAACAATCATGGTTACCTTACCAGTGTCCACCAGAAACACCCCATAGTTATTATGCAGGTCTGAGCTGTCAGGACAATTCTCGATACCTTTTAAATACATTTCATGGGCTTCAGTATAGCGTTTCTGCAAAACAACATGGAGAGAGACAAGTGAATCGTTTTATGCTGTCAAAAATAATGACTCCAATGTTTGGAAGAGACAAATAATTGACTCTTGTCTCGCTCAGCACTCCCACATTTTTTTTTTTTTAAACAAAGTAAAATTTACCTGGTCAGCATAGAGTGATGCCAGACTGGAATAAGCATCGGCGAAATATGGACCATAGCTAACGGAGTCCCTCAGCAATACCTCTGCCTCTCTCTCCTTGCCCTGTGATCTAGGTTAAGAACATCTTCGTCACAATTATGTTCAGAATCATGGGCCAAATTTCAGGGGCAGGACAGGATGAAATAGCAAACGGATGGCCATGCAACTCAATGGGTAAGTTCGTGCTTGTGCACGTGCTTTTCGTGTGTGACTGACTTGAGGAGATTTCCCAGGTTGAAGAGGGCGCGATTATGTTGAGGATTGATGTCCAGTGCTCTCCTATAGTAGCGCTCGGCCTCCTCCGGATGGTGCGTCAGAGTGCCGAGATTGTTCATAGCACTGGCATGGCGTGGGTACAACCTGAAAATTCAAACGTGTTTTGTGAAGCATGGCATGGATGGATGTTTTTATGATTAACATTTAAATAACAGATTTGTGGTTTTCCCCAAAAGTGTTCTGCTTCTCTTTCATAAATGCGGCAATGCTATTTCGTTAAAACTGATGTGTGCACATTTAGGCCACATATTTTGCAACAGTTAGAATCAGACCTGAGGGCAATGCTGTAATGGTAAATGGCTTCTTGGTGCCGAGCGCTGTCCTTTAGGAAGTTGGCGTAGTTGTAGTGGACTTTGGCATTGTGAGGCAGAGTCCAGATACCAGAACTGAAACGAGAGCCGAGAGGAGACGAACAACCATTCACAATCACAATCACAATCACACCTAGCCACAATTTAAAGTGTTTCATGAACCTCGATTCTTCAAATCATTTGCTATCACTCGCTCAATACAGACTTTCACCTGAAGAGGGCCTCCCTGGAAAGCCAGACTTTGTTCTGCTGCACCGTCTTCCAGGAGAACAGCAGTAGCAGCAAAAGCATCGAGGCACTAAGGACCGTGGTGCCAAAACGGCCCACCAATGAAAGGAGACGACTGAGGCCATGAACCACCAGGATACAGTAACCCATGCTGCAAGAGGAGAGTTGGAGGATGAAATTAATCCGAGGAGGAAGAGCCGAAAAATGCAAAGCTAGTTCTCAAGAGGGTTAGTTTTAGACTTGAATAGCCCAGAGATACTCGCCTTGGCATGTAAAGAACCCTTTCGGCCACAACAAATCCCACCCTGAAAAAAAGGTTACTCGCAGGAATGAAAGGAAACACCAGAAACAGTAGTCCCATCAACACCTCCTTACGCTTTTGCCTCTGGAATAAAAAGGCAAAGAAAGAAAAAGCTATCGCCCACTTACACTGAACAAACCTGAAATAAATACAGACGATTAAGAAAATACTGTGGCGGGAACGGACTCTGGCTAATCCTAGCACGTGAGTGAGAATGACACTGAAATAAAAATGTTAAAAATGTGTATTGACCTTCAGTGAATGTATACAATGCAGACAGAGGGCGACCATCACCACGGCGAGAAGCGCGGTGGCCATGTTGCGAATGTCACTCAGCGACTCGACGAGAGGGATGCTACCCACTTGCCAGTCGTAGCACAGCACGGCGGGGGCCAGCAGCAGCCAGGCGTTAAAGTAGAGCAGGTAAGAGTAGGTCAAAATTCTAGACATGGAAATGAATGGATAGAATGGTAGCAGGCAGAGAGATATTAAAAAAAAATTATAATCTCCAGAGTGCAGACATTTATTAATTTTCCTGAGATTTGGCTGGGCATAGTTGCTCCGATCTGATGTCTGTGTACCACCGACCTGGTAAGCAAGTAAGGTGCAAAGGATGCGGGATTGTCTTGTTCAGAGAAAAGAGGCATAGAACCTCCCATTAACCAAAGTCTGACTGATATAATGGCCAATACCTGAAAAAGAGCAAAAATATCAGACAATATTGCTTTCAAGTTTAATTTAATGCGATATGAGATGAAATATATCCTAAACAGTCATCATATTGAAAAACAAAAAACAAAACCAAACATAAAATACTCACATAGATCGAGACAACACAGGCCCGTTTGATGAAGGGTTTCCAGATCTGGAGAAGATGTCTAACGCCAGATCCCGAAAGATGACTAAGGAACATATTTGATGAGAGATAAAATTCCATTCCAAGTCATTTATTACATCAAGATGTGTTACTTTTTCTGCTGCTATTTGGCATTAAAATGCTTTGTGCTTACCCGAAGAGGGGCTTGCTGCAGAGCACAAGGGCATCGTAAAAGACGCAAACCCCAAATACAGTGATGCCTGTCTCCTTCACCAACATGGCACAAGTGCCCAGCAGCAAACTGATGAGCAGAGACCCCGCCGACACCGTTGAGGGTGCCGAGTCCTCAGCTGTGTTCACACCGACACTCCTGAGAGGAGGACAATTTGTTTGTTTCTTTTTAAGATTGCCACACCGACCCCGCCGACACCGTTGAGGGTGTCGACTCCTCAGTTGTGTTCACACCGACACTCCTGAGAGGAGGAGAATTTGTTTGTTTCTTTTTAAGATTGCCACACCTATTGACCTGAGGTTGTGGCGGTCAGTGTCTTGCTCAACGGCATCTCGATACAGGACAGGAAGTAGACATGCATTCAAAAACTAGTTCCCAACAACTCCTCGCTGTTTTCAACTCTGCGATAAGTCCTTGCCAATAGGCGACTGGTGCCTAATGTTCTTTTCTATGGCATTTCGGCCTTTTACAGATCCTAAATACAGTACAAGATTTATCTGTCTGATAAAACATAACCTGTACTGACCATGCTGTACTTTATTTTAATTTTTGGAGGGGGGTGAAAAGCTCCAGGGTGGTGTGAATTCACTTTACCTTATATAGGAAAGAAATGCGAGCAAGAACAGCAGACAAGCCAAGAGATCAGCCCTTCCCACTATTCCAGATACCTGCAAGACAAATTATGTGTGGTCATTCTTGTCACTGTCCAGACTTTTGTTTTTTTTTTCCAACAATTTTGCTTGTCATTTGACAGGTAATTGCAATTGATCTCTGTCATGAACTCACAGCCTCGGTGTGGACAGGGTGCACGGCAAACAGGACGGATGTGGCGAAGGCCAGGTGCGACTCTTCAAACACACACCGTTCACACGTGTGCATCAACATGCAGGTTACAGCACAGTGCAGACACACATTGACCATGTGGAAGTATAGTGGTGTCATGCCGCCCAGAAGGATATTCAACCTGATGGAGACAGAGAAACGGAATTATACAGTAAAAGTGTCATTTTCAGATCATTTTACGACGAGACGAGTCTATGCTAGATGCTAAAATGAAGATAACGCAGAGTGGTTGTGACGTGGGAAGAGATTACGGCATCGGTGCTGCATGACGTCACACTGAGCGCAGTTTCACGAAATTGCGGCCGTATTGCAAACTAATACTACATTCTCAAACGGCACCAAATGAAATTTAATGTCGGCCTTAAAAGGGTGCGGTGAACATACTTAAAGGTGAGAATGCAAAACGGTCTGTAGGACTTGTGGCTCGAATTGTCCGACATCCTCTTGCCCCAAAAATCGTTCGTGAAGATGTTCCGGAGACTGGAGCTCGGTCGAACGTCTGGGTTGTTGATAATCGCCCAAACGTCGTCGTGCACCAACTCCCCATGGATAGAGTTGCTGTAACATAACACACACAGTGTGACCAAGGCTGCGCAGCGACTCGCAGTCCAGCCCGTCGGTTGCCTGACGGAGTTCGGTGGATGCTGGGGAAGATTTCGCTCTCTTTCCGGGGATGTCATGTCAGCCCTGGTTTCTCCAAAGGCGCGTGTGGGCTGCAAATCAATGTGTGGACACTAAAAGATTCGTCCATTCCGCTCAGCAAGGAGTGTCCGTGAGCTATGAGAATTTGAAGCGCACAGTTCGTTGTATTGTGGTGCATTCATGTAAAATTGGAGATGAGCGATACTGTTCAGGACACGATGCTGAAAAGCGTCGGAACGGAAAAGTGTCGACTATGTGGCTGAAAAATGTGTAATAAATGAACTTGATAAGCCACAGGAAGGGCGATGCAACAACAAAAACTTGGTTGTGCGATTCAGGTGAGAAAGATTTACAAACACTTGCAATGCACGAGTTTGATCCATGTTCAAGAAGGGCACATCAATACGAAAGACCCTCCTGTAGACGCATGCGCAAAAGGTTATTGCCGAATGCCAGTCTAAGCAGATATAAACACGGTTTGGGGGGGGGGGGGCAGTGGGAGCACATTATGGAATTTTAGTTGACTCAGTTAATATAGTTTAGCGATTATATTGATGCAAGTGCGGGTCCGATTATTAAGAATACATAGGCGACAATAGGATCGAAAGGAGCAAACAGCAAATAAAATCTCATTCACCCCCCCCCCCCCTATTCGCGGGGCATAGGTACCGCATCGCCCCGCGAATAGTGAAAATCTTGTGCTGTCACCAAGAGGTCTGTGTTCGGGCCAAACTTTTTAATTTTTATATAAATTACAACTTTCCCAATCCCATACAAACTGTGAACAATGAAGTAAGTATTTAAAAAATGTCTATGGAAATAAAGAGTCGGGATAATCAATAACTACTGATGTTGTTGTAGTCAAAAGTGTGAATGAAAACCAATTTTGGGGAGTTATTACCACCCCAACCTTCGGCCAGCTCAGATAAAATTCCACATTAAAAATATTTTGTATTTAGACAGCAAACTTGAAGTCTACGCGGTTATCTGCATCATCCGAACTGCTGATTGGCTGAGAGCGTCTCAACTTAATGTCCATCAAAATTCGGGACAGTTCATTGGTCCAAAATCACAAGTTGCCTGTTAACATGAAGGCTCTTAAACGAGGAGAGTTTCAGTGAAAAGCATCCCAAACTGTTGCCCGAGGGAGTTTAAATTACGTTCAGAATATAATAAAATACTATGAATTTAATGGCGGAAAATGGAGATGGTAAGTTTTTATAGTATTCTTCAAAAATATGGTGTAGAAACCGGTAATCAAAAGACGCATTAGCATTAAAGCTAACGCAATTTGCCGCTTGTCGTGTCCAATGCACAGAGTCGTTTTCATCGGCGTGTTCGACATTTTGGTGACTAGCGTTTTTGTTACTAAAATTAGGTACGACTAGTTGTTTACTACTTTTCTCCGCCTTTACGAGTCATTTACCAAAGTAGGACATTGTATTAATCGATAATTAGCAGATATTATGTGGGTATAACGCCCGAAAAAAGGATCAGATCTTAGAGTGGATCCGCGTTTTTTAAGACGATTTTTAGCTCGATAACTGTCATGAAAGTTAAAATGTCAATTAAAATATGTGATTGTAATGCTCAGTGGTGGTCATTTCAATTAATTGAAAACGGATACTCTTTCGCGCAGCGGTTCTCAACTTTTTTTTTTTTTTTTTTTGGGTAGGGCGGTTAGGATTGGTTTCTCGTACAATAGTTTGACGCTTGCAGTGGTCCCCAACATTTCTTCACCCCCTCCAGTGACGACGAGTAGTAACCAAGCTGACAACATGTTGAATGAATCTCTCTGTCAACTCTTGTTTCTCTTCTGCACTCAAGCCCCTACTTCTTGATGTCATCATGTGTGAAAAAGTAATTCTGTGTATAATATGTCTGTGCCAATGAAAGGAGATTCTTTGTGGATTTCCTCTTACAAAAGTTCTGTTTTCCAGGCTGTGACCAAGAATTGGCAAAATACATGACATCATCCTCTGGGGAGGCCCTTCCTGTGAAGGGTGCAGAAGAGTTCAGAAGGTCACTGTCCATTCAGTTGGCCTTGGTGGCACTCATGGACAAGACGGGATATGATATTCTGCAGGAGAATGGACAGAGAAAGTATGGCGGACCGCCACCAAGTGAGTGGAGATGACAAACATATCCTGAGCGCCTTGCTTGCATATTTCATTTGTATTCTTACTCACTCAACGGATTGAAAACTTGACAAGAACGGACTATCTCTACCTGCAGACTGGGAGGGTCCAGCGCCATACATTGACTGTGAGGTGTTTGTGGGAAACATACCCAGAGACCTCTATGAAGATGAGCTCGTCCCTCTGTTCGAGACAGCTGGAACCATCTACGAGCTGAGGCTGATGATGGAGTTTACCGGAGACAACCGTGGCTACGCCTTTGTCATGTACACCAAAAGGTAACATTGAATCTAGAACTTGATATCTCGATGCAGCGCTCCTACCTGTGGAAAATTGACAATATTGAGGAGGATGATAGTTATGACTGTGATGATTATGTTCCAGGGAGGAGGCCCTAATAGCGATCCAGATGCTGAACAAATATGAGGTTCGTCCAGGGAAGTTTCTCGGCGTGTGCGCCACTCTCAATAATTGCCGCCTCTTCCTCGGCTGCATTCCCAAAGACAAGAGTAAGGAGGAGATCATGGAGGAGATCAAGAAGGTACACCCAAGGATGTCTGTGAATTAGGGCTGAACAATAAATCAAATTCAAATCGACATTGCAATGTATGTGTAAGATTTATTTATTTCAATTATTTACTTAGTGCTTCCAGATAAGTTACATTACATACACATAAGTACATTTTTAGGCCAAAACATTTATGTGTTATAAATCTGATATTCATCACATGAACGTCACATTGACCTCCTAGGTGACAGATGGCCTTCGGGATGTCACCGTGTGTTCAAGCTCCTCAGACGCCGGGAAACATCGAGGCTTCGCCTTTTTGGAGTATGAGACACACAAGGCGGCGGCATTGGCCCGCAAGGAGTTAATTGCTAGTAAGTTTTCTACTCAGCCAGCATCGCGAGTTACAATGGCAATACCATCGATCGCCTGTTGCTTAAAGAAAGTTCGATATGGAATCAAAGTTATATGTCAAATATGATCAATAAAATACTGCCACTCCACATGGACTGCGCTCCTATCGATTTTAATGCTAATTGCGGCATTATTATAAAGTAAGATACCAAATTATTAGGATTAGGTTTACTTGTCGCAACATTCCTGACTATCTTCTTGTCACCACAGTCAGGCACCTGTGGGGCCACACCCACTGGGTGAATTGGGCCAAGCCGGACAAACACGGGAAGAGAGCAAACGCGCAGCACGTCACGGTTGCCCACGTAAGTGTGGGCTTGATGAGTTGAATGGTGAAAATCCAAATGATTTATTCATTCTTTTTTGTTCAAACTGTTATCAAAAATAAAACATCAGCAACATCCCTGTACCACAGGCATTCTTTTATTCCGAAAGTCTGGTGTCCTTTTCAGGTGCGTAACCTTTCACCGAGCACCACGGAGGAAACACTTCAGCGCGAGTGTGATCGCTTCAAAGCAGGTGCGGTGATGCGCGTGAAGAAGTTGACCACCCACGCCTTCCTTCACTTTGGCCTCCACAAGGATGCCGTAGCTGTCACCAGCAACATGAATGGCACCACCATTGATGGCAGCGTAGTGGAGGTGAGCCTCGTGAAGCCTCCTGCGGAAGAGGCGGGCAGGAGATCCCGCCCTAAGAGCTGCCAGGGAAGCAAGACCGGAAGAGGAGCCAAGGAGATGATTGTCCCGCGCCACGGAGGCGTGAATGAGTGCTCTCCTCAGCAATCCTTGAAGACGCCCCCTTACTTCCAGTGGAAACCCCAGTATGCTGTAGGACCAGGTAAATGCGCCACCATTTCAGTCCCTTCCAATCCAAGTCAGTGGGTAAGGTCAAGCTTCAGCACTGTCATTCTGTTTGCATTCAGGAAAACCCGACAAGGGCGTGTTCCCGCTTTTTCCCGGCACCCCGTTGTACCGCACCAGCCTGCTGCTCCTCCGACCCGATCAGATCAGATCGGCTGTCAGCCTGCTGGACTTGTATTGCTGTGTGCACAACTGGCCGCCCCCACAGTACAACCTCTTCTCTTTGCTGAGCCAGAATGGGACCCTGCTGCTGGTCTACAAGGTGATGATAACCACAGCACACTGTTTTGAATGGGGTCAGACGGATTTGACCTTGGCTCTTGCTGTCAGCAAGCTGCACATCACCCCCCCCCCCACACACACACACACGCACACACAGACACAGCACACACTCACTTGTGTTTGTGTGCGCGTGTAGGTGGTGATGCCACTGACACAACAATCCTTCATGCCAGACAAGTTATGTGTGCAGCTGGATGATGCTAAAGAGCTTGCTGCACAAAATGCTCTGTGGAATCTTGGTAACACACACACATACACACACACCCCCCGATAATAATAATCATGATTTTGTCTCAATTTATTCACCAACATTTTTCCTCTGCGTGAAATGTGGCCCTCTTTCGTGAAAGCTGTTATTAATTGTATGAAGTAGAGACTTTAGTTGCGGACAAGTTATGGCAACAAAAACACTTGTGCTTCTCCAATCAGTATGACAAGTAAAGCAATCGTTCATTCATTCTTTGTCCTTCTCACCACCAGACGCATTATTTGTGAATGATTCGTCCAGTAGCCCATCACCTATGTCGTCTGATGCTGCACCAAGTCCTGACCTGCTACGCTAGAACGTTCACCTCCTCTCTTGACCCAGCCTCTCTGCCTGTACACACACCTGACCCTGAGACCTCCAGAGGGACAGTGTGACTCCAGTGTAGTTCTTGTTCCGCTATGCATTCAGGCACGTTCAAAGGAGGTCCAGTATAATCTGTGCGTTCCATAGGAAACATGTTACACGGTCTTGTTCTCGTTGTTGTGTTTTGGTATTCCAGAGAAATATGAAATAAAAGTTATTTAAAAAAATGTATTTGTTAAAATGTCTTGGTATGTGTCAATGTCAGCCAGCAGGGGGCGACATGCCAACAGTACTGCATACTGTATTATATGTAAATTGTTACGACCCTTTCGTTGAGTGTGGCAGTGCTTGGATCCAATCGAGTCGGTGATGAGGACCACCAATCTTGAGAGGCGCTGCCGGAGATACCCATGCAAGGACCAGCTCGCACAGATTCACATGCAGAGTCTTAAAAACCAGGTGGGCTAATTAACATCATGATGCTCTGTGTGTCTCATTGGTAATTGGATATGATTGGAAACTGATTTTTAAAATAGAAAAAGAACTCTCTTATATTTTCGTTTTAATATAGAAACACAAATATTGAAATACAGATTGAGATGTTAAATGATTTTATGACTCTCAAAATTGTTTCAGTAAAATTTTTCAGTACACAAAACAAGAAAATCCAAGCCACGGTTTCATTTCTTGACACTTTGACAAACATCTTTATAGTCCAAATTCCATCTGATGAAATTCTTTGCTACAGCAACAACGACAGGAGATTATATTACACAAATTACACAAACACATTTGTGTTTGTTTTATTTTAGAACCACACAGGCACACACGGGAGTTCACTAACAGTAAGAATTATTACAATTTGTTTTTAAATGTCAAGAAAATATAAATACAGCCTGTGCTGGTGGATACTATAGTATAGGACTATATGAATTGCACAATCTCCAAAATGACAGAAAAGCCAGCCGATACAGAATGCAGAGCCAACGCTGTCTGAAATTCCAATGCTTTCCGACAAGGTCAGGCCAAATCAGCCTACGTATCTTCTTCTTTAGAATCCGTAGCACCTCATTGGAACTCTAGAAAAAGACAAATGTACTATTGTCGCTCATTCTAGTACACTGTATTTGGATGAGAATGTGGCGTCATTGCAAACTTTTAACAATAAACAGCACTCTTTGTGTCTCATATGTCATATGATGCAGCAAAATGAAAATTCTTGGCTGAAATCGAAAATAGCAAAGTTCCTTACCACTGGCCCTTTGTGGCAGTACTCCTCCTCTGCTGTGAGATGCTGTAAATCTCCTGGAGCTGTGTTTTCTGGTCATCGCTCAGGGGTGCAGTCAAACACTGGTACCACGCCATATCTGTATTCTGGACTCCTGAGAGAGAACGTCAACACAGTACAAGTTGCAGATTCACATGTTGAAGCATTACATGATAGAAACTTGATTGGCGGAGTGTAATTTTATCGGGAAAACGGCCGTTTTCAGAAGCAGGAAAAAAGGTTGACTTACTGAGCAGGGCAGACGCAAAGAACTGATATTCATCTTCTCCGTTGTCATAGTCGAGGGGCGTGCTGTACTCTTCCAGAGGTGTTCCTTCAAAGCAATCGTCGTCATCCCAGTAGTCGTCGTCGTCATTACTCTCATCTTCCAGGCCCATCGGCACACTGGACTGCTGCTGCGTAATACTGCATTTTTCATTCACCTCATCCTCGTCACTGGGAATCTCCTCTGCGAATCATCATCGTATCGATGTCAACATTGGCGAGACTGGCGACTTCATGAAATGTTGTGCGTATCTTTTAGCCCGCACGCCAGACATGCAGGCACACGCCTTGTGGGAAACTTACCGTTTTGATCTTCATCCAAAGTCCTCGTGTTGGCCAGCAGGTCCGGTTTGTTGATGTGACGGGAAGCAGAGAGGTGCTTGAGGCCCAAGAAGAGGAGCAGTACAGAGGGAAGGATTTGTGTGGCGACGCCCTCCAGCGCCGCCGGACGGCTCGGAAGCTCCATCAGCACAGTCAAGCCAATGATGCACATCTTTCGGTCGTGGATCCTGCGAGTGAAACAAAGATGCAAATGGTGAGGTCATCCAATTTAAGATGATGAATGATTTATAACTCTCGGGACAATTTGTGTTTCTCACCCGAGGAAGAATTCCGTGTCGTTCATCCACTGGTTGATGAAGTGGGCAGTAATCGTTTGTGGGTTTTGGGAGAAGTGCGCGTTGTCCAAAGTGTGCATAAGAACGGCCGGGCTGTAGTAAAGCGCAGCGATAGCCACCTCCAGGCACATGATCCGAAGTTTGTTGGACTTGACGCCACGCGTCAGACGCTCCAGCGCTGCCTCCACAAACAGAGGGATGCACTGCAGTTGGGAGACATAAAACTCCCCCCTTTTAGCCATTCGTTCCAATACCATCCCACCTAACGAGTAGGTGTGTATGCATATGCAATACACACCCATATACACTTTTTTTTTAAAAAGTGGGTACTCGATTTCTGTTCAGCAATCAAGTGCTGCAGGGACTGCATCTTACCTGGTCAATCCCTCTGCCTTTGCACTGCAGTATAATCACCTCCAACAATTTGGCAGCGTGACACTCGGCTTCTTCACCTGAATCTGTGGTCAGCACCTAGGACAGAGGAATGATTCAAACTCGCCAACCGGTCAGTTTAACTGCAAGACTCAGAAACCTTTGGGACAGATTGTATACACCCGCGAGCTGCAAAAAAAAGTACCTTTTTGCACATGGTGTAGATGATCTCCACGTTCTTGGGGTTGGACAGAAACACATCTGTATCCACGGTGACGTAGTTATGTAAAAGGGGCATCATATCTATAACACATTTAAAAAAAAAGGACAATTATTGCATTTGTATTCAAATTTCCCTCAATGATCCTAAATATTCATCATTTCAGGAAATTGGATGTGTTCCTTCACTAATGACAACTTGACGCTCATGCGCATGGCAAGTGTATGCAAAGTTCTTGACCACATCGACCAAGCCAGGTGAGACCAACCGGTGAAGTAGTCAAAGCAGTCATGCTGAAAGACCTCATACAAGACGCTCAGCAGCTGCCACATCTGCGGGGAGATGGCCTGGCATGTAAGTCCAAATGCCAGAGACAGAATCTCCTCGTAGAACTCTGTGAACGAGATGAATCTTCAGCATATTAATACTTTCAAAACCACAAAATTAGCTCGGACTTTTTCCCACGCGTAGAGACGATGACATTGCTCGCATTCAATGTAACTGATAATTCCGGTGTTGACCAGTGAGCACTGCTCTGGCACATCAAAGTGTATTCGGATTAGAAAAAAAAATACGCAGAAAATTATGACAGTCCACTTGAATTTCTTCCTTGTTGGGGGTTGCACAAATTTTCAGGGAGCCTTCTGCTGAAATACTATCAGAAGATTTTGTTCTTGGATGTAATCAATGTGACATTCATCTTTTTTTTAAATCATCAATTTTCTATGGGCAATGCAGAAAAAGAAAAAAAAATGCATCTGAACAGACACACCTGCCATACCTATGATAGGTTTCTGCAAGACCAGGCCAATCACTTGCAAACAGATATCCTCCAGCTGTTGTGTGATCTGATAAAAAGAGGGGGGAAAACATATTTTTTAATCATTAAACATTTTTTTTAAGAGTTAACAGTTTCCCATGGCACCATCCTTGGGCCTCTTCTATTCATCACTGACAGTACCTCCTTCTCACTGGTGAAATGTTTGCAAATTTAAGATGACTTGCTCCCAGGTATGTCCAGAGTTTAATTTCAACATCTTTTACACACCTTCAGGACACGTCACAATCTTGCTCCTCCTCATCTGTCCAACCTTCGCCATATCGCACTGCTCCCCAACTCTAAAACTCCCTGCCAATGTGTGTGCATATGTGTGAGTGCTGCGCAAAGGTAAACCTCCTTGTGGTCCTCCATGACCGTGAGAATGGTGTCGATGGTGCTCAGAAGTCCAAGGGCAATGACTGTCTTGTCCTCGTTCTCCTCATATTCCTCGCTCTGAAGAACCCTGGTAAAGATCTCTGCCTGCCAAATACACAAGCACAGTACACTCAATTGTTATAAACAAAGCCAAATGTTGGCATCCTTGTTTTGGTGATTTTGCAGGCTTTCACGCATGTTGACATTCAGTTTTTTGTCCCGACTGTGTGTCTTACCAGGTTCCGTGTCATGTCAACGGCAATGACGGCAACTTCTTCATTGTACTCGCAGATCATCTTCTGAATGACGTTGGTCAAATCGTCGTTCTCCGTCTCCTTGACCACATGGAGCAGCTGTTGCATGACGGGTCGGATGTGTGGCCTGATGTACAGCTTTGCTACACACGCAGGCACAAAAAAATGAGATCCCAACGCCCCCAAGATGACTCGATTCGCTCCATCCAGCGCGCAGCAGCGTACGTACCTTCTTCCTGATTGCTGACCAACATCTGTAAAGCAATGGCTGCCTCCACCTTGACCGGCATCTCGCTGTCATCAACCAGGTCCTTCTTCACCAACTCCACAGCATTCCTCAACGCTATCGCGTTGTGGAAACGCAGCTGACTGAAGCAGTGGAGGACCCAGCATGACTGACAAAAACAGCGAAACCACAAATGATAAGTACTACTTTACCCGACACTGTCCAATTTATTACAACCGGTTTATTCCTCAGTCTGCGCCCATACCTCTTGTTTACAAAGCCAAACGTATTTTGAACATCCCTGTTAGATGAGAGAACTTGTTGAACGTCTGCTTCGCTTACCCTGGCTCGCAAGTAACCCAACCGAGAGTCGAGCAAAGGGAAGACGTAGTTTTGCAGCATCAACTCCATCTGCTCCATGTAAATGCGCTTCTGCGGAACATGCGGCAAAGCCCAAAGAAAAGAGAAAAATGTCGGGAAAAGGTTTATTCAATAGTCTTCAAACCCCTGTCAAAAAATGATGATGCAAACACTTTTTATTTGTTCACTTGCAGATGAAGGCAATCTTCCGCATCGTACGTACCTTAAGTAGTAGCTCAGCCAGTGCTCCGATACAGTGCAGCGCGCCATCTTTCCGTCGGTGGTCAGACGCGGGATCCATCAGAATCTGGTGGCAGAACTCCATCATTTGAGGCAGAACCTTTGAAGAGGAAAAAGTACAAACAAGGTGCTCTGATAATTCTTTTTCCCTGACATGTATATCCCTCAATACTGCGGCGAATGGTATTGTTCTCATCACCTCCTTTCTCTTTCGTGCAGCGTTGCACAAAAGGCTCTGTGCAGCGGTGGCTGGAAGGGCGTGATCGTCGTAAAGGTCTGGAGACATTTTCATTTATTTATTTTTTAATTAAAAAAAAGCAATCATTGAGATGACATTTTTATTGATAGCTTCAAAGTACACACAAAACTTCATGCGGATGTACTCAAATGGGTCCTCCTGCCACAGCCTCTCATCCTCGTCTTTGTAACACATGAGCGGGAAGATCACCTCCTGACAGATAGCCTGGAAGAGAACGAAAGCCGCAATTTATTCAAATTTGCGTTTCTTTGTTTAAACGGTGCTTCTAAGAGTAACTAACGTGCTGATGAGATTTGAAGTTCATTGAATCCATCGAAACGTGAAGCCCAAAGCGGACCCTTCTGGTGACTTGTGTCAGCCGGCCGGGTTTCCTCTTACCTGCATGTGAGGCTTCATCTGCTTCCACGTCAGAGAATGGGAAAGTCCCTGGTTGAGGTAGTCGAGACACTGCTGGAGAACGCGAGGAGTAACGTACTGCTCCTGTCTGTGTTGATCCACCACCTTCAACAGGACCTAGGCAGACAATGACAATAGAAACAGACGCATCAAAGCCAGACACAAATACTCTTGCGCTTCCCGACTCGTATTTAGCACACGTACTTGCTGTAAGCCCACTGCGTAGGTCTTCAAGAAGAAATCGGCAAACTCAAAGTACTCCTTGGTCACGTTGCCTGGGCTTCCATATCTGGGGGGCCACAACCATATTGACATCCCAACATTTCAACGTGACTGAATCACGGCGTCGCAAAACGAGGTCCACGCTCACCGCTTGAACAGCCTCGTAATGACACGCAGTGCCCATTTCTTGCACTTCCACCATGATAACTCGGGACGATCATCCTCATCCAGCTCTAAAGTCTCCTGTCAAATTAAGCGAAACGTGACCTTTCGGGTTCCGGAGCAGTGGACGCACACGCAATCGGAGGCATAACGGAGCAGATATCTGGCAGTGGGGGGGAAAGGCATCTTACAGCAGGTACATCACGGTCCATTATGGCTCGAAAGATTTCCATCCATTGAGTCATCACTGTCGTGGTGATCAGTTGGAGAGGAAGCGAGTACTGCAGATATAACAGGAGGATCAATATCAATAAGCACAACATAATATCAAATTGTAGGTTAAAATATGATACTGCAACATTGCGTAAAAAAAATTCTTTTTTAAATCGGCTTTGATGTTGGCAGTGGCAAAACATACCTGTATGAGAGAATGGAAGATTTTAAGGATCTGTTTTTGAATGAGGACCGAGAAGATGGTGGCGTCATTCAGCAGCTGGATGATGAGCTGCTGAATCCGCGGCAGAAAGATTTGCATGGCCGCAAGCAACGGCTCCCTCTCTTCCTCCTTCCGGTACCTGACGCGCAAACATGTTGTCATGAATAGCACTGGAAAGAGTTAGTTGGAATGGACAATTCAGAATCAGTTACTCACTCGTAGGTTTTGACGAGCTGGTAGAGAGCTAGCAGGCTGCCGTACCAGCTGCCACTGTTGTTCGACTGCAAGTACAAGCTTAACTTGTCCACGATGGCGGTCCAACGTCCCGGGAAGTCGTGTTTGATGATAGTTCGGAGACACATCGTCAGCTGGGCGCTGCATTAACAATGAAGTTAGTGAAGTTTGAACTGTCATAAGATTCGATACAAGTATTAGGGTGAAATAGTTTCTGTTTAGGCCTTCTCCCAACTGCGCGTGAGTACATAAACCCCACCAATCAATATTTGCAAAAAATTCAGGTTAGTGAGAATTCGGAACACAAACCTGTCCAATTTAAAGTGGAGTTGTTAGAAAAGATTACTGGTTGCATTGACGTTTGCAGCGTGAGAATGAACGTACCGTATGGTCTCCGGACAGCGGATGATGCCCTCCACAATGTGGTTTCTGATCTGCTGGCGGTCATTTTCATGAATATTAAAGGGGAAAACCACTTTTCCCAGAGATGGCTCCCTGTCCTGCCAATACTGGCCAATCATGTTCTTCAAATAGATAGCCGCTGTGGACATGCACAACAGTTCAACAGATAACAATGGGGGCGGTGTCAGAATGATCAAGAACAAGATATATTAAAAAATAAATAAAAATCTTAACACCATACCTGCCTGCCGAACTGGAAACTCCACCTGCTCTGATACAATGATCTGAAGCAGAGTTGGTGCAAAGTTGATGATTTTGTAGGACTGAAACACAACCAGAGCAGGGTCAGAGTTAAGCAACCAACAATACTTGAAACAGACACCTGGACAAAATTTGCGAGACCAAGTAAAGTTAATGAAAAAAATAACACCGTGCAAGTTATATATTCAAGTAAGGCATTTCAAACTCATGTGCAAATTTCCCTCCTTTTAACTTTGAGCACTTTCCCGTCCCAAGGTTTCTGCACGCCCCTGCGTCAAAACCAGAGTTAAACAGTACCCTCTCATAGTTACTATTCGACGTCTTCAGCAGTGACACCCACCTGATTGAGTTCATCTTCAGCCGCTCTTCTCAAATTCGGATCGATAGTCCCTCTCAGAGCCTGAATTATCCGGTTGGGATCCATTACTTCACTCCACGTATCCCCCTTAATACACTACATGCAAAAACCATGAACGCTACTCACTTAATTGTGAAGGCCGTTGTGGGCCTGCATTTAATGTCACCTAAGCCGTGACTGAATTTGACACTTTGGGATAAAAACGAAAGCAAAATAAATATGACTTTTGGCGAGGTCCACCACTGATTATATCACAATGGAAGCAGATTCATAGAAGAACCGATAGCGTTTTCAAATTCCATCAAGCTTTGAAAACAACAAAACTGCCGGTAAGCAGCAATTGCAGGACGTAAACGTAAACTGCAAAACACAAACTTTACGGCACTTTTACGGCACATAATTCATCGTTGGCTCAGCAAGTTTGCTGCCCCCTTGAGTCTTGGAGTGGTCTCGTCATGTGACGTTCGTCTATTTGCTTTCACCCATGTTCTAATCTTTTCCTCACAAGGGTTGTGGGCGTGCTGGAGCCATATGCTTTCATTTCGTGACACAAATGGTGTGTGTAATATTTATTGCAGTGACGCAACAGCACCCAGCGTGGCACCTGCTTCCCAAGGCGCGTCCGTCAGAGCCACGAGGAAAGCAAAAGTGGTGAGTCCCATCGAGCTGATAAATTAACAGTTCTGTATTAATATTTTGTTTCACTGACACCAATGTGACTATCATGCTCCCGATCTTCTGCAATACTAGACATTGAATCTGAAAGGAAAATCAACCTTGAAAGTATGCAAGCAAGGTGCAATTAAAAAAAAAAAAAACTGCACACGGGGAAATTAAATATGGCACTATCTGTGTGCCTACATATTTTCGTGTGGCAACAAAGAACCTTTTTTTTAATGAAGATGCAAGCACACAAGTATCACTGCTCATCTTTTATTAAGCCATTTCAAGAGACCAAATTGACCTCCTCAGTTTGGATTTCACTTCAACATACTGGCCATTTGTGTTCAACACCATACCCACCACCAAAACCGATTCCTTTTACAGTTTACGAGCCCACAGCAAGTTTGATTGTCGACTAGAAATCCTATTTGCCATCTTGAAGAGACGTAGTCATGTATAATCAGCAGGCTTTTGCGCGAAGAAGGTACTTTGGAATGATGGCTGACCTAATGATGATGTCAACAGTTTGGTATAAACCAAGAGACTATACAGAGCTCAGTCCTGGTAAAGCAAAAAGCCAGAAAATGTACTATACTTCCAGGTGCTTCCATAAATGGCACCGCGATGCAATCGGAGCCAAACCTGATCACCTTGGAAGAGAGGTAAGATGGCGTGGTTGCTAGCCGTCTCATGATCCGGTGCTCCATCATTGGCGTACGCCGACACCATGACTTCTTCATTGCACATGAGATTGATGTAAAGTGGCACATTAATTGCCAGCTTAAGGATGTGGAACATGAAAACGTACATTCCATTGACAGGACAGGTAAAGCGGCCAATGTGGGTGTCAAACATCTCTCCGAGGTTGCTGTGCAGCTGATCAAAAACAATGGGCTGGTCTAGGTTGCCCGGAGCAAAGTTGACTGTGCGAGATGCCGTGAACGCGACTTTCAGCGGCTGGGAGAAAGGGTAAAGTTGCATGGGAAGTAGGGAAGTGTGATGGTGGCCTTGAGGACTGTGCGGGACATCTACGATGGGGACAGGAAGGGAATCGCCATGTCCTGAATCCATCGTTGTGAATTCTTCACGGTCTGGGCTGCTCACATGTGAGCTCTCACGCCAGGCTGCTGCAGAGTAAATGGAAAAAAAATTAATCTGGTGGCCAGTCCGTTATTAATGGTAAATATCTTTTTTTTTTCTTTTGTAGAATATAACATTGTCTTTACCACTGGAATGATGCTGTACTCCACATCCACAGACGTGCTGGGATCCAGAGCCCTGCAAACGGATCAAAAGCTGTAGAAAATGGATGGATACACAACAAAACTGCCATTTGAACAACACTGGGTATGTATCGTTTTTATATCCACTGTATACAATCAGTATCAGCATCAGAGTGCAACACTGAGCAGGAAGGAACATTTAGCACAGCGCCACTACAGCTTTGAGATTCACTTACTCTTGGAGCACTTAAGAGAGGGTCATAGTTCTTCAGATGAGTCTGGAAAATGCATGTGCCCCCTGCCAAACAGAAATCAGAATCCACTATCATGCTTTAAAAGCAAGAATTATGGCAGCACTAGTTAAAAAGGGGGGTGGGGGTCCTAAATCACATTTGCAATTAAAATATTGCAAAAATTTTCGGCATCTTGAGTTTAGCTCGCCATTACAGGCCAGCAGAGGCATACCCATCGTTTGCGAGTCGTCTTCTGAGGGTGCAAACTCAGGTGGTGTTTGGGTGCTGCAGTTGGTGTACTTTGGTTCTACTTTTGCATCTCCGTTGAAGACCTACAATAAAAAGACACTGGCGTCGAAATGAGCAAAATCTTGCAGATAGAAAGTGTTGCGAATGTCATTAAAAATGCCCGTCATTGATGACCAAGTCATTTAAGACCAATCATTGGAAAAAGTCACTCGGCAACGGCATAACTGCACACCTTCTTTGATCGTCACCCAACGCGAGAAAGAATCAACACATTTGAAGACTCACTGAAGGCATATCATGAAATTGCACAGAGGTGACAGTTTGCCTCGCAGGGGGTGTGGAAAATGTGTGCTTGGGAGCGGGGACGGAGATGCTCGGTGCCGTCCTGTTACAGGGAGAAATTGTTCCCGATTCGGCAACCACCGTCTGAGGAACACAAAGTTTGAGTGCGTCAAACAATAACAGATGTTCAGCTTCTTGAAAATGAGCATCCGGTTAACTGTAATAAACGCAACATATCTCAAGTTGCTCCGTTTTTGCCACCCTCTAATACATATGAACTTTAAACTGACAGAGATTGCAGACTCTGGCCTGGAGAACAATGGCGAAGAAAATTTCTTCTGTTCGGACAAATGCAGATGCTCCTGTAGGCGGGGAAAGAAACCAAACAAACAGTTTAAACGGATACCCTTAAAAGCATGTCATTATTGCACAGAATCTTACATTTGAGGATATCTCCAGTTCGTAACCTTTTAGGCCCTGATCCCCATTTGTCATTCTGGTTTTGTGGTCCAGAAGCCGAGCAGGCAGTGGGGTGGACTGTGAATGGAAAATGAAGTGATTAACACGTTTCCGTAACATACAGTGGATGTTTAAAAAAAAAAAAAAGTCTACACACCGCTGTTCAGATGTCATATTTTTGTTCAAGACTAAGATCATTTTCAAACTCTGTGCACTTTCAGTGTGACCGATAACCTGTACAACTTAAGTGAAAAACATTTCAACTAAATATGTCCATGTTTTTAATTAAACAATCCCATCAAAAAAGGCATTTGAACAAGGTGTGTGTGTGTGATAGAAACATCTAAACGACTGCTTACATGCATTTCTTTTGGCAGCGGATCACTTGAGGTTTTTAAAGCTGTTGGTTGGGAGAAAGAACACAATGCATAAAATTATTTCGGTTCATAGTTTTCTCAAATGATCAAAAAAAAAAAAAAGATCAATACCGTGATGGGTACGGACAATATACCGGTAACAGTATGCCTGTCAGCATCTGAATTTTTGACTTTTGTGCCTTTTTGGGGGGTTTGCAATGTGGTACACTTCTGTGGTGGAATCCTGAAATTCTAAAATTTGACAAAAATGGTTCAACATTACCCAGAGGAGACGCCAACTCCGACGGCTCCTTTTTAAATTTGGAGTTTCCATTTTCTGAAGGGGACTCGCAATCGAGTAGAGAATCCTAGACAGCAATGTAGAAACATTAAAATCTTGAGCAAAATTGGTCCCCTGCCTCTAGAGGTGGGGGGGTTATATGAAGGCCATGTTTTGTATCAATTTCCTAGTGCACTGGTCTAGGTCTTCAATTGCGACATTCCACCTGGATAAAACTGAAGGAGCCATGGATCTTGGTTATTAAGTCCTCCAAGTGTTTTTTCCTCATGATCGGGTCTTTGGGGAAGGTTGGAGAGCTGAATTTCACTTCAGGTAAACCCTTGTGATCGTCCTGCCAAGAATCACAAGGTGTCATGTTGAAGATTTTGTTTTTTTAAACAATCTTGTACTCACGGTCTTGGCATTTTGCTCCCTGTTCGCTTTCTTCTCCTTTTCCTGATATCAAGAAAAATAGAACACATTCGTATCACATTTCCACTTTATTGTTTGTTTGGGTTTTTTTTTGGCTATTCATGAAAAAAAAAATTGTTTTCATGTTAATTTTTTTTATTTTAAATGAACTGCAATTGTCGTCTCTCCCCATATTCTTTTTCAAGGGAGTATCAAGCCATGGCATGAGTTTACCTCTTTACTCCCAGCTGACTTGCACTTGCTGGCAACAGGTGCTTTGGGAATGAAAGTGGCCGCCGCACCTTTCCACGGTTTGCCCACCACGGCCTGCAATGAGATGCCTTCATCCGAGAACTCAAAATCCCAGCAGTCGGGAGGGTCAACCTGTCTCCTAAGCATCAAGTCTTCCTTCGACTTCTGCGCCAGGGAATTGTCAAGGTCAGACGGAAACGACTCGGCGCGCTTCTCTCTCTTATCCATGTATTTTTTTTCCAAACTGGCCCTGAGCTCAGACTGCGAACACGCAAATGTGACCTTACCTCTGGAGAATGTTCCGGGTGCGTCAGCTTTGATTTGGCTATCAAAGACATGAAAAAAAAAAAGAAGAAGACCCAAAATAATGCAAAGTACGTACACCACAAACTGATTTGTACTCTGTTGTAAAGGCCATTAATATGTATTCTTATTTTTTCCATTAGCATATAAATTCATCACGGCAAAGGAGTCAAACGATGGGCGGATCTCACGATTACTGCTGTACCTGCTTGGACGTACCTGGAGTCGTTTTGGACGGAAGACAAGAGAAGTACTTGCTCTTCAATAATTTGGTGAGCTCATCTTTCAGCAATTTAACTGGAAAAAAACCCCCAAAAACACACAAATGAGACGGGTTTGGTTTGTTTGTTTTTTGTGGACCAGAGTCATGCCGGAGCGCAAATTCTCCGATACGCACACGTCGATCCGGCCACTGGCTTTTCCTCTCCCTCCAGAAGGTCCATGTACATCACAGCCGCTTGCTCCATCCACTGCTCTAAACTTCAACCCAGCAGAGAAAATTCAGACAAATGTGAGTCTTTCTTTTATCACTGTAGAAAATGACAAAAGTATTTGCAGATGAAAGTTTGAAGTTACTTTTGTTGAAATGTCTTATGCGCATCCACGTTTGTTTTCAAATTGTCACAAAAAAGTTCAGGGAGCACCCGGGGTGATTAGTCTTAAATTCAATTTGGGTTCATTATTTAAAAAAAAAAAAAAAAGTCACCTCAGTCTGTCATCCTGCCTCGCCCCGAGCAAAGCGGCCAGCTGGCTCAAGCTGTTGAGATGCTTTGCCGGTAGGTAGGGTGCCTGGTTGTGTCCGCTTTGCAGGTCTTTCTTGACATGGGCCTCTTGTAGGCTGGCGAGGAGATGTTGGACTTGGAGCACCATGCTGAGCCGCCGCCTCTCCTCCTCCATCCTTACCAGCTGCTCCCTTTTGACCGCCTTCTTCTGTGACTTCAGCAACTTTTTTGGTGGGGGGAGACACTTAATTTTTATTGGACAGAGACAATATTTAAGTAAACATAATAGAAACTAACGACTAAACTCTTACGTTTTGAGTCAAGCTGTCCAGGGTTTTGTGGAGCTCTTTGGCAAACTCCAGGTTATGCACCACCTGCTCGTATTTATCAGTCGCAGCCTGACAACAAAAACGATTCTGTCATGGTCACGTCAGACGATTGAGTGTCATTTTGAAAATATGGGCTCACCATTTGGTCTTTATTTAGAGTCTCACCACAGGTCAGGCATCTCTTATAGTGTTCCAGTTTCAGCTACGGCAAAAGCAAGACGGGGGGAAAAAACAGCCATATTTGCGACCACACACCCCTGATATGCTTTTGCCATTGTTTCATGTTCCTACCTTCTTTTTCTCCAAGTTGCGAACCTTATGTTTGAGGCAGATAAGTCCATCTTCTATGTAGGTTTCATACCCATGATAGGCAGTGGGGAAGTCAAAGCTCGGCGGGGCCCCCAGGCTGGCAGGTGAGTCTCCCTTCGGACTCAAAACAATCAACTTGCCTTCCATTCTTTCCTTCTTCTCTTCTGACTGTTCGCCAGCAAGTGTGACACCCACCTTGGGGGAAGGAGGAAGCTGCACCATTGCCAAGCTCCTACAAGAGGGAGAAAATGTATTCGCTTGTTTCTATCTAGAGGTGCAACCGCCATGATCAAATTGATCGATCATTTGTTTAGATACTTTTAATTGAAAAGTTTTCCAGAATTTCAGTGTCACTGCTATGTAAATGTTTCATTTAGCTTTGGATTAAAAGAAAAAAAAACTGCAGGGAGTTCCCCAGCTCAGCATGCATCTCTTAGAAAGTTAAGTGACATTTTAAATAAATAATTCCCCGACGTTAACCCATTTAAGATCTCTTATCTGCCATTAAAAAAACACTGCGGATATGCGTCAAAATCAGCATTTCCTTTTCAGCCTTCAAAATAGGAACAAAAGGGGATAGATTTCAAGCCCGTAGAAAACGCACACTCTGCATCAAAAGGGAATTTTCATTCATTTAATTCGTTTTAATTCCTTTTGTTCATTTAATTGTGGTGCTGGCAAAACAAGGCAGTTTTGTTTCTCGCGCACAAAGTGTCAATTTCACGCTTGTTTTTTAAATGGCGTTTAATGACACCGTTGAAGGGATTCCTCTCCATGAAATAAGTTTGACAGCGGATTGCTCACAAACCACAACAATAAAAACCCTTGTTAAGAATTCCCACCAGCTCATCAGAGGTGCAACAAACACCTCATTGAATGAACGTGGAAAATAAGCTTCGTGATTTGACGCGATTTATATCAAACGAAATGCAATTGAAGAAAACGGCATCGCCGACGTGAGCCATCGTTCCCAAACGAACTCGAACCACACTTCATTTAATTGAACAGCAGGGGGCAAAAACAAACAAAAAAACACCACCAACCTCGTAGCTCTACTTTGGGCGTTAATTCCAAAATCGAGACTGATTGAAGTCACCAGCACTCCTTGTTCAGACTGTGCAAGGTGCTCAGTTTGCAGAGAGCGCCCCCGAGCTTTGCTTTTGATTTATAGGGCGCTCCGTTTGGAATACTTCCGCTTTCACTTTTTTTTTTTCTTTAACTGGGATTGGCTTCCTCTACCTGCGGGATCTTAAACGACAGAAGAAATTTTTAGAAATTTGTCTCTTCTGGTATGACATCACGTTTGGAAGCAGGTATTTCAAAATACAAAAACGACAGATTTTTTTTTTTCGTTTTATTTGATTTTTTTGTTTGAAAACATACAAAAATCATTCTTCCACACTGTGTTGACAGATCAGGTAGGATTTTTTATTTATTTATTTTTTGTGGGGGGGAATTAAAACAACAGAAGTCACCAACCATAATTCAAACACAAAATGACATTTCAGATTTTTTTTAACACGGGTTAAATTACATAAAAATCATGTGTTGTTGTATTTTTTTTTTTTTTTTAGTTTCTTGAACACATCCATCAATATAAAACCTCCATCAAGGTGTGGCCTCAACATCTCCACCACCATCATCGGCTTTGAGTTGTAACATGAGGCGAACGTGGAATTATTTGCAGCGGAATTTTATCAGTTGTCCAAAAGTAAGGAAACAGTTTTATGTTGTCAGACAAACGTGGCCAAGCGGAAGGATTCGTTTTGCCCAACAGAGTGTCTGTAAGCGATTCGGTCAATGAAAGCGTTCGTTGGTTCGTGTCCACGTGAACTCGGATCCTCTGCACTTTCACCGATGGCTTCCAGGATCCAAGTGCGTCGCCGAACAATTTGTATTTCTCATCCCGGAATGTAATCCCCTGTACTTTCATGTCATTTGGCGAACAAGGGTCCCCCCACGCCACTCCTACTTTCCACCGCATGTTTTCTCCCACCTCAACATCCCACGTGTGTGTTCCAGAGGCCAAAGGAGAACCGAGCACGCCGCCAAAGGCCGTAAGCCTCTCTGGATTACTTGGACGCTGCTGCTTTTTGGCAGAACGCACACTGGTCAGATCTTCAGACAGAGCCAGCGTCGACCGGGCCGAGTTTGGGTTCAGAATGACGGGACTGTAGGAGACCACCTGCTTCATTCCTTCCCACACGTTGAACTTGAGGTTGCCCACGTGTTGGACTTCATCCAGCAGAGCTCCTGGGAACTTCTTGGGCGCGTCAGGTGGCTTCTGGATTCTGGTCCTCAGCGTGTTGAAGTTCTTCATGAAGGAAACGGGGTCAGACGTCAGTTTTTCCTCCGTGTTTGTGATGGTGGCGGAGAGAGCGGCCATGTCTCTGTCAAGAGCCTCGATCCTCTCCTTCATGGTCTGACTCTTCGTCTGCTCTTCCTCCCTCACCGCAGACAACCTGGCCTCCTCCTCCTCCTCCAGGAAGCGACGAAGCGCCTCAAAATCCTTCTTGATCTTGCTTTCAACCTGCTTCCTCTGGACCTTGATGTACGCCGCTTGCTCGTTGCAGTCGTCTCTTATCTCCTTCTGATCTTGCAGCCTTTTCTTTGCGTCCCGCAGCCCTTCCCGGAGTTGCTCCTTGTGACCTTTCACGACCTCCTCGAGGGGACGGAACTTGTGGCCAGTGTGGCTTTCCGCATCTCGGCAGATGATGCACACGAGCTCCTGGTGGTCCAAACAGAAGAGTTTCAGTTTCTCCTTGTGCAAGCTGCAGACATCCTCCGACTCCACTGAGGCATGTGAAAAGGCCTCGCACAAATTCCTGAGGGCCAAGTTGAGAGGTACATCCGTCGACCCGCACGTTTGTCTGCAGACCGGACACGTTCGCTCTCCATTGCCATCCCACCACTGCTGCACACACCCACGACAGAAGCTGTGACTACACGGCAGCATGACAGGATCTTGAAAGATCGCCAAACAGGTCGGACAGTGGAGATCATTCTCAAATTGGCTCGCCATTCTCCTCGCGAAAGCACCGACACCGTCGACAAGTCTTCCAAAGTTCTGTCTCCGGACAGCCGAAGTGTGTCTGCCTCAATCACAAGTGGTTGGTTGACTGTGAGTCCACAAGTACAATTCCTGCAGCGCTTTTGTTGTCAGACTTGAGTTGATTACCTTTGAAGAGAGCGGTATTATTGTACAATTGTATGAACCGCGATTTGCCAGGGACCGAAGTGCAACATTAAACGAGATAGCGACGGAGTGTCGAGTGAAAAAGAAATGCTTTCGTTGTCTGACTTGATCCCATTACCTTTGGACACCTTGATGGAGTTATTATAGTTTTATTATTTTATTATCGTAGAACTGCCATTTGCCAGTTGCTAACTACTTGCAAATACGTTTGTACGGATTTGCAAGTTGGTAGTTAGCCGTGCAGAACATTGACGACCACAAAAGGGCACCAGTGACTGGTATCAGCATACTTTGCAGGGGTTCGATATCTTGAAACAAAGCTGAGATTTAATTGAAAAAGGTTTTCCAAAATTTCAGTATCGCTGATATGTTCATGTTTCATTTAGCTTTCGGTTAAAAGAAAAAATTGCAGGGAGTTCCCCAGCTCACCATGAATCAATTAGAAAGTGAAAGTGAAATTTTAAATCAATAATTCCCCGACTTTTACCCATTTAAGATCTCTTATCGGCCATTAAAAAACTGCGGATATGCGTCAAAATCAGCATTTGCTTTTGAGCCTTCAAATACGAACAAAAGGGATAGATTTCAAGTCCATAGAAAACGCACACTCTGCATCAAAAGGGAATTTTCAGCGTTCATTTCATTGTGGCGCCTGCATAACAAGGCAGTTTCGTTTCACCCGCACAAAGTGTCAAGTTCACGCTTGTTTTAAAATGGCGTTTAGTGACAGCGTTGAAGGGATTCCTAGCCATGAAATAAGTTTGACAGCGGATGGCTCACAAACCACAACAAATAAAACCCTCGTGAAGAATTCCCACCAGCTCGTAAACCGTGCAACACATACCTCATTGAATGAACGCGGAAAATAAGTTTACTGGTTTGACGCGATTTAAATAAAACGAAATGCAACCGAAGAAAACCGCTTCGCCAACTTTTGCCATCGTTCCCAAACTAACTCGAACCATTACTTCATTTAATTGAACAGCAGGGCGAAAAAAAAGTCCCATTACAACGGAAGACGCAAAAACAACACCAACCTCGTCGCTCAACTTTGGGCGTTAATTCCAAAATCGACAACGATTTGAAGTCACCAGCACTCGTTGTTCAGACTGTGCAAGGTGGGGTCAGTTTGCAGAAGGCGCCCCCCAGCCTTGCTTTAGATTTCTCGGGCGCTCCGTTTTGAATACTTTCGCTTTCGTTTTCACGTTTTTTTGTTTTTTTTTTAAACTGGGATTGGCTTCCTCTACTTGAGCGATCTGAAACGGCAGAAGAAATTTATGAACAGGTGGACGGCCCGTGTCTCTTTTGGTCATTAGACATCACGTTTGGAAACAAATGTTTCAAAACAGAAAAACGACTGAAAAATTGATTTTCGTTTTATTTGATTTTCGTTTGAAAACAGACTCCTCCTCCTCCTCCTCCAGGAAGCGACGAAGCGCCTCAAAATCCTTCTTGATCTTGCTTTTAACCTGCTTCCTCTGGACCTTGATGTACGCCGCTTGCTCGTTGCAGTCGTCTCTTATCTCCTTCTGATCTTGCAGCCTTTTCTTTGCGTCCCGCAGCCCTTCCCGGAGTTGCTCCTTGTGACCTTTCACGACCTCCTCGAGGGGACGGAACTTGTGGCCAGTGTGGCTTTCCGCATCTCGGCAGATGATGCACACGAGCTCCTGGTGGTCCAAACAGTCCTTGTGACCTTTCACGACCTCCTCGAGGGGACGGAACTTGTGGCCAGTGTGGCTTTCCGCATCTCGGCAGATGATGCACACGAGCTCCTGGTGGTCCAAACAGAAGAGTTTCAGTTTCTCCTTGTGCAAGCTGCAGACGTCCTCCGACTCCACTGAGGCATGTTTTGAAAAGGCCTTGCACAAATTCCTGAGGGCCAAGTTGAGAGGTACATCCGTCGACCCGCACGTTTTTCTGCAGACCGGACATGTTCGCTCTCCTTTGCCATCCCACCACTGCTGCGCACACGCACGACAGATGCTGTGACTACACGGCAGCATGACAGGATCTTTAAAGATCGCCAAACAGGTCGGACAGTGGAGATCATTCTCAAATTGGCTCGCCATTCTCCTCGCGAAAGCACCGACACCGTCGACAAGTCTTCCAACGTTCTGTCTCTGGACAGCCGCAGTGTGTCTGCCTCGGTCACAAGTGGTTCGTTGACTGTGAGTCCACAAGTGCAATTCCTGCAGCGCTTTTGTTGTCAGACTTGAGTTGATTACCTTTGAAGAGAGCGGTATTATTGTACAATTGTATGAACCGCGATTTGCCAGGGACCGAAGTGCAACATTAAACGAGATAGCGACGGAGTGTCGAGTCAAAAAGAAATGCTTTCGTTGTCTGACTTGATCCCATTACCTTTGGACACTTTGATGGAGTTATTATAGTTTTATTATTTTATTATCGTAGAACTGCCATTTGCCAGTTGCTAACTATGCCAGCTCACCATGGATCAATTAGAAAGTGAAATTTTAAATCAATAATTTCCCGACTTTTACCCATTTAAGATCTCTTATCGGCCATTAAAAAACTGCGGATATGCGTCAAAATCAGCATTTGCTTTTGAGCCTTCAAATACGAACAAAAGGGATAGATTTCAAGTCCACAGAAAACGCACAATCTGCATCAAAGGGGAATTTTCAGCGTTCATTTCATTGTGGCGCCGGCATAACAAGGCAGTTTTGTTTCACCCGCACAAAGTGTCAAGTTCACGCTTGTTTTAAAATGGCGTTTAGTGACAGCGTTGAAGGGATTCCTAGCCATGAAATAAGTTTGACAGCGGATGGCTCACAAACCACAACAAATAAAACCCTCGTGAAGAATTCCCACCAGCTCGTAAACCGTGCAACACATACCTCATTGAATGAACGCGGAAAATAAGTTTACTGGTTTGACGCGATTTAAATAAAACGAAATGCAACCGAAGAAAACCGCTTCGCCAACTTTTGCCATCGTTCCCAAACTAACTCGAACCATTACTTCATTTAATTGAACAGCAGGGCGTAAAAAAAGTCCCATTACAACGGAAGACGCAAAAACAACACCAACCTCGTCGCTCAACTTTGG